AATAAATACATTTTAGAGTAACCTGATACTTTAAGTCATTAAAACAGTACTGTTTTTATAGTGGTTTCTTTTTGCTTGAATAAGATTTTGCAATTTTAAAAATAAAAAGTTTATGAAAAAGTTTGAATGTAAGATTTGACGGGAAAAATAATCTTATTTTTGAACAGTGATTTATTCATACTGAATTCTGGTAATATTTTTAATTATTGTGAACATAATCTAGCCAATATTGGTTTAACACAAATAATTTGATTATATCAAGAATTTAAATCATTTGAATCCATGTCTGGAATTCATTCTATAACAAATTTTTCATTATTAAAAAACATAACAGTTGTTTAATCAGTAATACAAGTACTCTAAACTAGATTATTTTCATAGGTGTATTTTTGTGGTTTTCAAATTGTATAATTATATGCAAATATGGTTCTTCCTAAAATACTGGAAATTTTTATGTTGGTGAATTTCATAATATAACAAAAATAAGCCAAAATTGGCTCTTAATTGAACTTAACCACTAAACATTACATTTGAAAAGAATCTGAAATAACACTCAATAAATATAACAATTTGAACATAAAGCATTAACAAAGTTTAAATTAATATGTCAATGTATAAAGCATATATGATTATATCCTATAAATTTGTTATAAATGCCATTATCCTTATAATATTGGTTAATGTTCACAAGCTTGAACATCATATTTACATGATACTAAAAATAGTGATCAAATAAATGTATATGTCTTTTGATTGAGGTAAGCCATTTCAATTGATATTTTATAGTATCTCTTTCTATGTTGTGATGTTACACTATTGTTTCAGATAAGGGTGAAGGTTTGGTACCATTAAAAAGTTTAAACCCGCTGCAATTGTTTGCACCTGTCCTTAGTCAGGAATCTGATGTTCAGTAGTTGTCGTTTGTTGATGTGGTTCATAAGTGTTTCTTGTTTCTCGTTTTTTATATAGATTAGACCGTTGGTTTTCCCGTTTGAATGGTTTTACACTAGTTATTTTTGGGGCCCTTTATAGCTTGCTCTTCGGTGTGAGCTAAGGCTCCATGTTGAAGACCATACTTTGACCTATGATAGTTTACTTTTATAAATTGTGACTTGGATGGAGAGTTGTCTCATTGGCACTCATACCACATCTTCTTATATCAATGTGAACATAAGTATAAACTATGTCAATTATGCTATTTAAGTTAAAGCTTTTTTGGAAAAAAAAAGAATATTTGTAGAATGGGGTTATCCAAATTCAAACTTAGAACTTTCTTCCTGAACATGTGTGCAACTCTCAGGCTCTTTCTACAAACATAAAGATATTATAAAGAAATTGTATTACAATATTCATAAACAATTATATTCCCTCCGAAATCTTCCATGAATTCTGTGCTGGGAATACCAATCTTCATGGCTATTGAGTAAAAAATCTTCAAAACAGCATTCTTAGCAAATTAATAAAATTGGATACTGCCTATTTAGAAATTCAAGTTTTTATGCAATTTTCTAATGCAACTGGATTGGGACTGTGTTTTTTAAAACTTATGTTTTTTTTCTTTGGTTATTATTTTGCATTATACAAACAACTCATTTTTAGTTTAAATGTAGTATTTCTGTCAATTATCAGAAACAAATCATAGACTACAGGAGTAACAGGACACTTTTAGTCCATTTAAAAACATTCATCTGGAACAAAGAACAGGATCTGAACTGAAGAAACCCGCTGAATGCAATATTTCCCACCAATTTACTGTCACTTTTTATCATTTTAAACTTTTATGTTAACATAACAAGGTGCGATAATAAAGCCTTTGTGCTTGTAAACGTGTAAAAAATGCATTTTATAGGCTTCTGTACTTAAAGTCAAAAGGTCAATAATTCCAAAATGAAAATTATATGCCTGTTTTAAATGAACATATTGGTTTGAAAATACACTCTCACTGTTGATACTGTTATACACACAAAAGTGAGAGAAAGGAGTTAGGCCAATGAATTTCCCCTGAATTTTTTTCACATCAGGACCATTTTCAAAAAGTCTTTCAATCTTTATTTACACTTCTTTTACAGCCCAATGTGTGAACTTCATTGGGGAGGTCTCAACATAGGCTTTTAGATTCAGACATGCAGCTGGGATTTCAAAAGCATCCCCCCCCCCCCCCCCCCCCCATCCCCCCTCATTCATATATTGAAGTCTTGTTGAAGTCACAACCCATAAATATATTTGATGGCAAAATCGTAACCCATTCATATATTTTTCAGTTATCACAAATGCAACTTTTGACATATCAATTTGATTTAAAAGTATAAAACAGTATTTAAACAATGAAAATTACCAACCCAATTGATCCATTGATATTTTACCATGGTGAAATTGCACCCCAATGATATATTTGACATATCAAAAAAGGAACCCTTTCCAGCAGAATGTCTGTGTACAACTTCATATAGGAAGAGACCCCCTGTGGTGTATTTTAAGGTTTTTACAACATTAGAGCTTATTTCTAAACAAGTCATCTAATTAAAAAGGTATGCAGATTACCCAAAACTGCAATTTTGAGAGATTTTGGCAAATTTGGAGTATTAATTAGCTGTTAAATTCATGATCACCGATTTGACTCAAATTTTCATATTTGATTTATAACATTCTGAAACGTATATCCAAATTACAAAAAGTCTAAAATAAACAATTAACAATGCAAGGACTCGGTGATATGTATCAATATTTTATGTGTATTTTTGTCTAGACGTCATCTAATTAACAATCAAGATGACCTCCAAAGACTGCCAACAGTCATATAAACCAATATAAACATAAATATAAATATAAACAGATAGCGACCACGCCTGCAATTGGATTTTTCTAGGTCTGTTTGATTTCATATTGTAGATTAAAAAGTATGTTTATCATCGTTTTTACCTGTATAAGAATGATTGTTTTGTGGATCGATTCAGTCAACCTTGTTTCACTTTCAATGTTGACATTCTTTTCCTTTTAATAACTGAATACATGTGTAACCCATCTCCAGCTAAAGGGTTAAATTGAAGGTCACATGAATATGGATTCATTGAGGTCGAATTATTCACTTGCAAGTGAATAATTCATCAGCGATGTTTGATAGCTTATTTTGACAAAATTGAACTAAATTGGCTGCTAAAAGCGAATTATTATTTCATTATATCACTTTCATTTATGACTGAACAAAAAAAATCGTATCTGAATCTTCTTTATATCTCGTAGCTAATGCCCCTTTAATATTTAACTGCCAGTAAGATTTGACAACTTTTAGATTTTGCCCTTGAGAGTGAAACAAATACAGGGGCTTGGCCCTACTCCTTTAAAGAATGCCCTATATAAATATGTAACCATAGTCCATACTAAATAAATTTTTCTATTATATACTGAATAATACTGAGGTTTTCTGAGCAAATTACCCATGAATTGGGTCACAGTAAAATGTTAATCATGGTGACCCAAAAAATGTGGACATGTACTGCCCTCAACAAGAGGGCTAAAGTATTGAAATGTCATTGATATATTACATCATTTTTTTATGAAATGAACTTCAATGCAAATTTTATATAGTAACCTAACTGCTGTTGAAAAGTATCATACAAAAAAAATGTAGTGATAGAAAGAATATAATATGACTGATATATATTTATTGTCAACTAGCTTTTTGTCTATGTGCTTGTCTTTAGGGTACTTATACAGGACTTTTTTTTAAAAACACATCTTCAAGTTTTGTGTAAGGTTTTAAAGACAATTCTAGATTCTTAATATTATTCATATACAAAACTCAAATTTAACAAAAGTAATGACTGATAAAATAAGAGTTTACACCCATAAGGATTAAATCTATATTATGAAAAAATAACTTGACTAAATCATTTGACAAATTCATTTACACTAGATAAATAAATCACTATCAAAAAGATACACAATTACATCAAGAACACTCCAACATATGCAAACAAGAAACCAGCAACTGATAAACTCTCCAATTGCTAAAACATTAGGTACAGTAAAAGCTTATTATCATATTTTCAAAGACAAAGGGAATGAAAAAAATAGTTCAATGAATCTATGAGTTTGTAGAAATAGACATTGTAAATTGCATTCATCTGGACTATTAAATTATATTTGAGTTACATTTTATTTTTTTCACCATTTATCAAGATTTCTGAATAGACCACTTCATATAAAATAAATAAATTCTATGGCCTCTTTCATAATTGTATACAATTAGTAACAACTGCAAAATATTTACCATAGCAATTGCAATATATACAACTATATCATAACTATCATTATTTTGATTAAAGAAGTTTGAATTTGCACAATGTTTTATGAATTTTTCTTCATTTCAAGATTTACTGTATTAAGGTAGCACAATACAAAGATTTTTTTACTTCCAATCTCCAACCTTTAAAATGCTGCTACTTTTTTAAAAATGCATATAAATTAATAAAAGAGGTATATATAGATAGATAAAAGATTAATCTTTTAAATGAATGCAATATTTTTGTTATGCAATCATTATGTAATCAATTCAATTAATGGCAAAATCTTGGTCAGTTCACTTGAATGAATTTAGCTCTTTTATCTTTATAACTATACAGGAAATTTTAACGAAATCTTAATCAACACAGCAGGAGCTACAAAAGGGTGTCTCAAATTATCGCTGTGGTATTCCATTCTCTCATAAATCTGTAATTAGTGTAAACATCCTTACCACATAAAAGCAGATAATGTTTGATTAGGTGTAAAATTTTATCTATACATTCTATCCGAAATCTGAGACACCCTTTTGTAGATAATGGCTCTAGGAACAACATATAATAAAATCAACCCTTTAGGGGTTACCATGAAGAAGCTAATTTCAATTGAAGGTGGAAATTTCTTATAAAATTTTGTAGACACAGTTAACATTATAATTGATTACATAATTGTTGTATAATACTAACATTGCATTAATTTGAAAGAGTAATCTGTTAGCTATCCATAAATACCACTTTTATAAATTTTCAAGCATTATAAAGAAAGTTACAGCATTTTAAAACTGGGGAATTGGAAGTATAAAATCTTTGTATTGTGCTACCTTAATAAAGATAAAATCATAACAATTTTCATATCTGCCCATATTTTATATATTTCGACATAATTATTATGATCATTCTAAAACAATTTTTTTTTTATATAATTATTCAAGATATGCATAGGTGAAGAAACTTGAGGAAAACTCCATTCATAATAATAACATTTTTACACTTTTTTAAAATCTTTCAAAATCCTGCAAAATATTTAAATCTAAACTAACATCTTTACAATATTTTGTCTTCTCTCATATAACAGTTTACTGACTTCAAGCACCACTTTAAGTGATATTGTGTAATGAAAATTTAAACATACATGACTAACATAATTAAAAGAACAATTTTTTCTTCAAACTTTTTGTATTCTACGGTACCCTTAGTTTGAAAAAATAATTCAAGACAAAGTGTGAATAAGTATAAAAAATTGTGTGCAATGGTGAAGATTTTTTTTTTTTTTAAATTTTACCACCATAATATTAATATTTTAAATTATTAGCTACCCTATGAGTTTTGAAAAACTGGTATTTTACCATACTAATAAATATCGTGCATTTTTACTTCAAAAATTTAAAACTTACATATAGTGCTTTGCATTTTCTAATTCGCAATCTAATAAAACTTGAATTCCACCAAATTTACTGATAAATACAAATATACTTATAGATAAAAGTGCAAACCAGCGTATAATTGGAGCATAAATCAGAAGTATAAAAGTACTTATCTGAAATATACTCCAAAATATATTTGCAAACTTGAAAAGAGATTGGATTTCACTTTCATCCTTAAGTTTGATTTTGTTATCTTTTACATCAAATTTCTTATCTTGATAGAATTTTTTCAACCGTTCTTCTTTTTCTTTCCAAACTTTTTGACACCAAATGTCAACATTTTCTTCACTGGATGGAATGTCAAGAGCTTTGTGTCGTTTGATATAGAAATGAACTTCTTTTGGAAAGTTTCCCTTCAGAATGTCAGACTCATTTTGTGGTATATTTACAGGGTATCCAACTGTGACATCTATTATTGAATCAAACAGGTTAACTACAAAAAATAATGAAAAATTGATTGACTACAGTGAAAAATTTTATACTGTACTGTTAAAGAATATAAATCTTACATTTAAAATAAGAACATTTTTATTCATAATATATGGAAATATGCAGATTAACCAACAGCTATTCTGACATAAGACATCAGGACAAGTAAAAACTGTGATATAAACTCAACTGTTATCCTGACCTAAGACAAGTAAAAACTGTGACATTAACTCAGTTGTTATCGAGACATATGACAAGTACCGGTACAAAATGTGCTGCTAACTCAGTTGTTATCCTGATATAAGACCAGTAGAAAAATGTGCTGCTTACTCAGCTGTTATCCTTACCGAAGACAAGTACCAGTACAAAATGTGCTGCTTACTCAGCTGCTATCCTGACCTAAGACAAGTACAAAATGTGCTGCTTACTCAGCTGTTATCCTGACCTTAGGCAAGTACCGGTACAAAATGTGCTGCTTACTCAGTTGTGATCCTGACATAAGACCAGTACAAACTGTGGCATTAACTCAACGGTTATACTGACCTAAGAGAAGTACAAAATGTGCTGCTTACTCAGCTGTTATCCTGACCCAAGACAAGAAAAACATCTGCCATTTACTCCACTATTATTCTGATATAAGACCAGTACAAAATGTGCTGCTTACTCAGCTGTTATCCTGACCTAAGACAAGTACCGGTAAAAATGTGCTGCTTACTCAGCTGCTATCCTGACCTTGGACAAGTACAAAATATGCTGCTTACTCAGCTGTTATCCTGACCTAAGATAAGTACCAGTACAAAATATGATGCTTACTCAGTTGTGATCCTGAGCTTTCTCAGTTGTAATCCTGACATAAGACCAGTACAAACTGTGGCATTAACTCAACGGTTATCCTGACCTAAGAGAAGTACAAAATGTGCTGCTTACTCAGCAGTTATCCTGACCCAAGACAAGAAAAACATCTGCCATTTACTCCACTATTATTCTGATATACGACCAGTACAAAATGTGCTGCTTACTCGGCTGTTATCCTGACCTAAGACAAGTACCAGTACAAAATGTGCTGCTTACTCAGTTGTGATCCTGACATAAGACCAGTACAAACTGTGACATAAACTCAACTGTTATCATGACCTAAGAAAGTACAAACTGTGCTGCTAACGCAGCTGTTATCCTGACCTAAGACAAGAACAACATCTGCCATTTACTCCACTATTATCCTGACCTAAGACAAGTACAAAATGTGCTTTAAAGGGGCATAGCTGCTAAATTCATGTTTACCGATTTGATTCAAAATCTCATATTTCATTTATCATGTTTATAACATACTAAAGAACTAAGTCCTAAAGAAACAGTTTACAATGCATAGACTCTTTATAATGTATCAACATTTCATGTGTATTTTAGAATAGACACCATCTAATTAATCATCAAGATGATCTCTGAAGAATTCCATAGGACCTAATGTTAACATAAATATAAGTACACAGACAAGCACATGCAATTGTATAATGACGATTTTTCTAGGTCTAGTTGATTTCATTTCATAAATAAAAAAAATATGTAAATCATCATTTTAACGGTATATGTATTTTGAATGATTTTTTATGGGCAGAATCAGTCAACGAAAGGGATCTGCCCAGTGACTGCCTTGTTTCACTTTTCAATATTCACATTCTTTTCTTCTTAATAACTTAACATGCTTTGCCCATCCCTGGCAGATCTAAAAATCCCTTACACAATTCAACTCATCATTATGAAGTTTCTGATAAAAAATCAAATCATTCCTTAACTCAGGAGTTGAGAATTGTGTAACAAAAAATTCCATTCTCAGGCAGCATCGTAAGAATTCAAAGTATTTCAAACAGTAAGTGAATGCTCATAAGATCTTAAAATTATGTACATAGTATAACAACCCATTATGATGCTCCAGATCAAATACCAAATCATTCCTACATACAGAAGCTGTCAGATAAATATGTAACAAAAATTACAGACAAACGAAAAAAACAAGAAATAAAAAGTATGTCAAATTTATTGGTTTTTTTTTTAAACATTGAATTTAGCAATTGCTTTTTAACATAATTATTCTTTGTTTGCAAAAAAAATGTAGAATAGTTCTCACAATTTGCATCTGATTATAAAAACTACACATTTAATTTATGAACAATCTTATATATACCTATAAATATGCATCAACCTTTCCATATATTTCTTTATAGTTAAAAGTATTAGTTAAGATAACCCCAGGATCTAGTAATGTTAAGTAAGTCCCCTAGTTTTTTCTATACCTATTTTCACTAGGTAAAATACAACAATATCTGTCATTTTCTATTACACAGTCATTAACTGCTTTTCACAAAAATTTGTGCTTTCTTCTTGCAGAAATAAAATTCAATATAAATTTTGCAGACATGAGATCATTTTGACAGAATATTTAAGTGATTTGTAAAAAAATTATTATGTTCTGCATGAATTAAAAAAATATTTCACACCAATATATGTGTAAAAATAAATTTCTGTATATTTTGGTTTGTGTGGTTACATATTAATTAAGCCATGTAATGAAAGATGAAAAAGTGAGAAATACCAAAAGAGTGCCATGTTAAACTTACTACGAATGTGTAAATACGAATAAATACCTTCTTTATGATTTGACCAACAACTTTTGGATTTGTTTTTGAAAAGTATTTTGTAAAAAAGTTAATAATGTAGACTAATTGATTTCATAAAAGACCTGAATAACTGAATACTTTTAAAAATATATTTTGTTTATTACCATCTCTCATCTGTTCCACAAAATATTTAAATCCTCTGGTTCTTGGATGTAAAACATACTCGTAAGGCTCAACACCATTATCTTGGGCAAATTTATCACTCTTAGCTTTAGTCCATGGTGTTAAATCTGTGCCTTCAGGAAACAGTAGAATCTATAAAATATGGCAAATGTCAGATACAAACCTTTAAATACAGAGCTGCACCATGAGCACATGATACGCCCGTCCCCCTGTGATCTTGTCTTTATGCTTGAAATGAATTTATATAATCAACTGGAAATACTGTGAGCACTGCTCAAATAGCCCCCCCCCCCAAAAAAAAGACATGCAAACATAGTGGTACCCATTGACATAAAACATGAATAATTTGGTACTATTAAGACTACCTCAAGTTTAACTAAGTTTGAGGCCTTGATTTTTCATCTATACATTTCTATCCTGTTCACAACATGATTTTTGAACGAATAAAATTGTGAAAAATGGACAGTTTTCGATGATTTTTCACTGAATAAAGTTCCATAATGCTGCAATGTCATATCAGAAATTTATAAAAATCGAAAGGGAGCTTACGTCAATGGATAAAAAAATTCACAAAAGTTTCATGAAAATTTGTGAAAGCTTTTTTGAGTTATTGTCCGAAGTTTTGACGAGGTTTTGAGAGACTGACAACGGTAAACCATAATACATTCCGTCTTAGACTGGCTTATAGAAACTGTAGAATTTATAAAACATGACAAATATTAGATATGATCCTTCAGGAAACAACAGAATCTATAACAAGAGTGCATACGCTGAAATGTCTGCCCTGCTTTACTGACTATTGATTTTATGTTGAAAGTCTTAAAGATAAAGGTTTTACTAAAATCATTACAGAAACTTAACATTCTTAAAGATCTATGACAATGAGGTCTAGTCCAGATAAATCGTGTCAGGCAGACAATACACCTTACAATTTTTGTATATACCAAATATAGGTGACCTATTGCATATGCTAATTGGAAAACAGACCAAAACACAAAAACTTAACATTGACCAATGAACCATAAAAATGAGGTCAAGGTCAGATGATACCTACCAGACAGACTTGTACACCTTACAATCATTCCATACACCAATTATAGTTGACCTATTGCTTATAGTACTTGAAAAACAGACCAAAACACAAAAACTTTACATTGACCAATGAACCATGAAAATGAGGTCAAGGTCTGATGATACCTGCAAGACAGATTTGTACACTTTACAATAATTCCATACACCAAATATAGCTGACCTATTGCTATTAGTATTTGAAAAAAAAAGTATTTAATATTGATCTATCTACTGGCAAATAAATTGCTTCGCCGAGCACAGCTGGATACGACCGCAGAGGTCCAACCCTGAACAGTTGGGGCATAAATGGACACAATATTCGCGCTTGATACAGGTCTGAATTTGGATTGTAATTCAATATTTGACACATAATAGGTTTCTGACACAGAATAACTGTAGTCAAAGAACTTAGAATTGGTTATATGATTTGAATTCATATTCAATTTTTTGCTTTTGTGTAATACACTATGCTGTTTTTTTTAACCCCCCTTTTCCAAAAAAAAATTCTTTCCCTGAAGATATGGTCATAATCTTTTTTGCCCCTAATTCTAAACGGTTTCAGCCATAACCCTCCAAAGCCAATCCTAACCATCCCTTTGTGATATGGAAACTTGTGGTATAATTTCAGAGAGATCCATACACTGTTCCACAAGTTATTGTCATGAAACTAGAAAAATGCTTATTTAGGCCCCTTTTTGGCCCCCAATTCCTAAACTGTTGGGACCATAACCCCCAAAATCAATCCAAACCTTCCTTTTGTGGTTATAAACCTTGTGTTTAAATTTCATAATTTTCCATTTACTAATACTAAAGTTATTGTCCGTAAACCAAATGTCAACGACGACTTGATACCAATATACGACCGCAAAAAGTGGTCGTATAAAAAATTATCTTGTGCTCCAAATTAGTTTAGCCCTAATGTTATTAATCATGAAACTAGTCTATTTTAGCAATTAATTGTTAATCAACAGGGCCAAATAAGCCCCAATTGTACCTTTGTACTTTCATGACTTTGCTAAAGGTAAGAACTAATAAGTACCTTGATGAAGATATCAACTTACCTGAGGTTTGTAGTTTAACTTTTTAAAGTACATAAAACATTTTGATATTGTACTTTTATCATGTTCCCAATTTCTGTGAAGAAAAAGATATCCTGCACACTGCATGGCCCATCCTGCAAAAAAAAAAAACAGTTTCAAATTATCCTTCAATCCACTTTTTTTTTTATCTGAAGGCCATTCCAATTAACCATGTAACAAAATTTCAAACCCAATGAACATGTTGAAGGTTATTTGATGTTACAAAATTTCAAACCCAATGAAGGCAGATATTTTACTGATGAACACTTATAACATGTATAACAAATAACTTCATTCTGTTAATAAACTGTAAGTTAAAGGGAAAATTCATGATTTTTTACTTATAGTTTAAATATGTTCATTATAACATAAAATACATATTCACAAAGTTTTATCGCTATATGTGCAGTAATAAAGAAGAAAATCAATAATTAATAATCTTTTTATTGACTACTTCCTGTAGTACATGACGATAACTCCTGTTATTGCATGGCGGGATTTAAAGTACAATCATTTAAAGTCTTGGTCTTTAATCATATTTTAACGTAATCATACACGTGCCGATGACTAATACTCTCAGGTCTCGAATATAAACTGGGACTGTTATACCAAGTATGATAGTCCCAGATATAAATAGGAAATAAAACTGTAAAGGTGGGTGTAATTATAAATGTTTTAAGTTCAGCTGAAACGTGTTAATCATATATTATTCAGTGCAAGAAAACGTTTGTGATTTGTATTTTAGACAGACTGGAGGAATTGGATTTTTCAGTCCTTTATATCTTGTACCTTTGCAAGACTGGTCATTCCTATTCTTCAGTAGGACACATTATTCACCCTCTAAACAGACAAGACTACTCCTTAATAGCAGAAATGCAGTAGTATTTTAAAATTTCCGTGATTTAGTACCAATCAAAAAAACAACACCGAAATTAATTTGATACTCAACATGTTTCCTTGAAAATAAACATATTCTCATACGGTCTGAAAATAAAATATGAATTTGGTATACAGAACATTCAGAAGTGTGAATGTCATAAAATCTTGTTATATCAGAAAAAGGTATTGAACGCCATTATAAACGTGAACCTGTATACGTAAGACCTCATAGGACGGCACCTTACAATCTACAGGTAATATACATGTAGCTCTGTAATATCCGGAAATGTCCAGGTAAATCACTACCTATACAGAATGTACCATGTCAAAGAAATTCTCACGATTGTGAAGCATGACCATTATCGATTTAAGAGGGACTGGGTGAGGGAATGATTTAAATTCTGACTATTTTTATTTTTCTCAACTTATATCACTCAACTAAAATTTTTTTTAATTACATTCAGGAACAAAATTCTTTTTGAAATTCATAGAATACTCTTTAATATCCGCTACAGTACTTAATGGACAAGCAGTATTTTTTAAATTTCGATAATTTAATACTTAAAAAAACACCTAAGTTATTTTGATAGTCATTATGTTTCCTTCAAAAATTACATAGCCTCATTCGGTCTGAAAATAAAATAGGAATTTGATATACAGAACATGCAGAATTGTGAATGTCATAAAACCTTATTATCATAAATAGGTATTGAACGCCAATATAAATATAAACCTGTATATATGTGAGACGTCATGGGACGATACCTTGGCATATACAGGTAATATACATGAAGTTCCGCTGTAATACCCGAAAAATGTCAAGGTAAATCACTACCTAAACAGAATGTACCATGTCACAGAAATTATCAAGATTATAAAGCATTACCATTCATCTAAAATGTGTTCTAGGTGAGTTAAATGGTTTAAATTCTTACTTAACATTTTTTACCACCTAAAATTTAGTTTTTAAATTACATCCAGGAACTAATTTTTTTTTGTAAGTTTACGTTTTTCATCTCTAACTTTCGATAGAAGCAAGTTGTTTTTTTAAATTCTCTTTTGGAACAATGATTTTTATTTTTTAGTAAAATTAGAATCATAAATTGACTCTACAATTAAACGTAAACTCTCCCCCCCCAAAAAAAATGTTCACATGATGTATATTACATCTGATGGTTTGTTCTTACAATAATATCGTTAATACAAACCTGGACCTGGAACATTTTTAAGAATTTCCTTCAGGCTGATTTTAAAATGTCTGAGAGACCCACATCTGATCTGATAGGAAAAAACAAACAGCCAATCAAATCTTGTCCTGTGATTCATTATGATAAGTTCACATTCATCATCATAAACAACATCTCCTGTGATCACTGCTTTCACACCACAAATTTTCTCATAAAGAAACTGAAATATACAAATCAAATATTTACATGACTTATACAATGTAAATAAACTGAATTAAAATAATACTATAACCACTACATTGTTTTGCAGTTTGGTCAGTTTCAGATGTGTAGGAGATCATTTCTTCTGCATATAAAGGGAAACAATTTAAAGTACTCTACTGTAATTTTTTTCAAAACTTTCTCAAATTCTCACATATGACAGGAAGTTTTATCATTGCTGTGTTACTGAAGGTTTTTCATGGCCATATTATCCAAATCACCATTTCAGCTCTACAGGAGCTTAATAATCTGTTCTTTGCATACATGTACATGCACGTACTGTTTTAAATCATGCATAGACATATGGTAATAATTTATGGGACAGTAAAAATTGGAACAAAACAGGAGGTGAAAAAATAATAAGTAATGTGACATAACTTGTGGCTGACAAGTAAAACAAATTCTAACATGTTGTGCTGCTTTTACTTTGTAAAAACAGTGTGATAAAATTCTTGATATATCTATATTGAACGCAAAATTACATACATGTACATATTTATGGCTGTTACAGTTTACCTCACATGTAAATCAATATGTATCTTATTAAGCTACATGTATGTGCAAATGCTATGTCAATTTCGCTGTGCGACAATTGAAATTGAAATTAAAATGGAGTTTTGAGGTACAAGATAGGTCTTGTTTCATTTTCTATTCTATTGTGTTATTCACTCATCTATGGATTTCAGCAAGTCAACGGCTCACTCCTTTGTGACCAAATGTCAACTGTGGATTTGATGGTAAATACTAGCCAATGCCCAACAATAAAAACAAGAGGCTCTCAAGAGCCTGAAACGCTCACCTGTATTTCAGAGGAGAAAATTTTTAAATGTTAGCAAACTTGATGAACAAATTGTGTAAAATTCTTTAAAGGGCAATAACTCCTCAAGGGGTCAATTGACAATTTTGGTCATATTAACTTTTTTGTAGATCTTACTTTGCTGAACATTATTGCTGCTTACAGTTTATATATATCTATAATAATATTCAAAATAATAACAAAAAACTGCAAAATTTTGTTAAAACTACCAATTCGGTGGCAGCAACACAACAATGGGTTGTTCCATTCGTCTGATAATTTCAGGGCTGATAGATCTTGACCAATTAAACAATTTTACCCCATGTCACATTTGCTCTAAAAGATTTAGTTTTTGAGATATAAGCCAAAAACTGCATTCGACCCTTATGTTCTATTTTTAGCCATGGCGCCATGTTTGTCGATGGATACAAACTTCGGATACAATTTATAAACAAGATACCCTAAGGAACATTTAGTTAAAGTTTGAAGGTAATTAATTGGCCCAGTAGTTTCAGAGGAGAAGATTTTTAAATGTTAGTAAACTTGATGAACAAATTGTGTAAAATTGTCTTTAAAGGGCAATAACTCCTTAAGGGGTCAATTGACAATTATGGTCATATTCACTTTTTTGTAGATCTTACTTTGCTGAACATTATTGCTGCTTACAGTTTATATATATCTATAATAATATTCAAAATAATAACAAATAAAATACTCCGCTGGGCGCAGCTTGATACGACCGCAGAGGTCGAACCCTGAACAGTTGGGGCAAGTATGGACACAACATTCAAGCTTGATACAGCACTGAATTTGGATTGTGATTAAATATTTGACACAGCACAGGTTTCTGACACAGAATGAATGTGGTCTAAGAACTTAAAAATTTTTAATTCACCTATTCAAACCATATCATTATTATTTGCTTTTATATATAAATCAGAAATAACCCATTTAAAATGGAAAATTTTAAAGAAAAGAAATCCCCCCCCAAAATTTTTGGAACCCCCTTATGATTCATCACCCCCAAACTCAATCCCAGCCTTCCCTTTGTGGTATGGTACCTGCAGTACAATTTCAGAGAGATCCATACACTTGAACACAAATTATTGAAACTAGAAAAATGCTTGTTTTTTGGCCCCTTTTTGGCCCCAAATTCTTAAACGTTTAGGGCAATTACCCCCAAACTTAAACCCAGCTTTCCCTTTGTGATATGGAACCTTGTAGTACAATTTCATAAAGATCCATACACTTACACACAAGTTATTGTCCTGAAACTAGAAAAATGCTTGTTTTTTGCCCCTTTTTTGGCCCCTGATTCCTAAAATTTTGAGGCAATTACCCCCAAAATCAATCCCAGCCTTCCCTTTGTGGTATGGTACCTTGTGGTACAATTTCAGAGAGATCCATACACTTGAACACAAGTTATTGTCTGGAAACTAGAAAAATGCTTATTTTTGGCCCCTTTTTCCTAAACGTTTTGGGCAATTACCCCCAAACTCAATTCCAGCTTTCCCTTTGTGATATGGAACCTTGTAGTACAATTTCAGAAAGATCCATACACTTACACACAAGTTATTGTCATGAAACTAGAAAAATGATTGTTTTTTCCCTTTTTTGGCCCCTAATTCCTTAAATTTTGAGGCAATTACCCCCAAAATCAATCCCAGCCTTCCCTTTGTGGTATGGTACCTTGCAGTACAATTTCAGAGAGATCCATACACTTGAACACAAGTTATTGTCTGGAAACTAGAAAAATGCTATTTTTGGCCCCTTTTTGGCCCCTTATTCCTAAATGTTTTGGGCAATTACCCCCAAACTCAATTCCAGCTTTCCTCTTGTGATATGGAACCTTGTAGTTCAATTTCAGAAAGATCCATACACTTACACACAAGTTATCATCATGAAACTAGAAAAATGCTTGTTTTTTGCCCCTTTTTTGGCCCCTTATTCCTAAAATTTTGAGGCAATTACCCCCAAGATCAACCCCAGCATTCCCTTTGTGATATGGAAACCAGATCAACAATTTCATTCAGGCTTGATATATTTTACTCCACTCGATGGAACTAAATTTGTTTTAGATTTCATAGTAAAGATTTGACATTTTTGAAGGGAGTCAAAAACCAAATCTTAAAAAAAATCATAAAAATGCCTGGATTGAGATGGTATCGGGTCCGTTCGCTCCCAATACACATTCACCCCCTGGGTCTGTTCGCACCCTATTTTTATTAAATTATTAGACATTTTTTAGATGTACAAATCAGAATATTTATATTTTCATTAATAAACTTCAGAAATTTCAAATTGAAATATTCTTTTTTGGGGGATTTGATGAAGATTGTATGGACCATCAGACAAACCAGTTGACGATTTTCCCGCCACAGTAGACTTTGAACTTGATGGTGTATAATGTGATGTTTCAGGTTTTTTTTTTAAATATTTTAATGCTCTTTTAAATTTTATGAAAGTAGTTCCTCTAAACATTGTGACTGTTATTTGAATTTAATACATTAATTCTTTTAAACTGTTTATATAAGTGCATATTAGATAGTATTGGTGTGTGAATGGTGTATAATGTGATATTTCTGGTTGATTTTTTTTTAATATATTGTATTGGGAGTGGAGTTTCTGGCTTCCTTTTCTTCCCCGTTGTCTACCCAAGTTCTGGGATATTGGACAAACTATAAAACCACGTTAACATAAAGATGTTTATTAAGAGACATACGTTATGGTTGAATATAAGTTACATACAAGAATAATAAAATATACGGTGGTGGCTAGTCTACTTGTCATTGTAAAGTTCCATATTTGCAAGCCAAACGGTATGAGCGTCTGCTCATTTCAAATCCTAAGTGTAGACTGCCCTGAACCCGATGAGTGACGTCATACTTATAGTTCCTAGGGACAACGAGCCCAGCCAGGCTGGATGTCAGGCACGTGCAAGAGGCAGGAAGTCCCGTCAAGAATAATTACATGGCCGGTCTCGGAAGAAAGAGTTACGGAACTATAAATAATACTAACATTTACCAATTTCCCCAAATAAATAGTATAATTAACAAGTAAACAAAGTGACCACCATTACAATATATTAGTGCTCTTTTAAATTTTATGAAGTAGTTACTCTAAACATTTTAGTGCTGTTTTTTAAATGAAATATTTCATGATTAGAATTTAGAATGATTGTGTACAGTTTAAGTGCATGAAGTAGGAATTAAATCTGTTTAAGTTTTAGAATGTCACTTTAGTTTGAAAAAATAAAAAAAAACTTATTTATATATAGCAATACACTATATTAAAAAAAATTTCAAAACAAAACCAATAAAAAGGGTGAGACAGACCTAAGTTGCGAACGTGATTTTGTGAAAACGGACCAGGATTCGATTGAGATACAGATAAAAACTTAAGTGTTCTGAGAATCTAAAATCAGAGAGTTTTAAATAGCACCAGAATTAATAGACCTTTTAGCTTATAATTTCGAAATGGGCGATACTTGACCAGAGATTTTGCAATAGTGAACACTTGAAACTATTGATGTCTGACAGTCAAACAAGAATCACTTTTGTCTTGTTGCGTCTTATGACCTAAAAATTTTACGGGTAACTACTGTGATGGCTAGTAAATTTTAATGGAAACACATAGTGACAAGATGTATAGCATTTAATAAAAAAAATGATGGCTCAAGCTACATTTCCTCAAAGTCTTAGGTGCATCACACAGCACTGTACTTATATATCACCTACCACAGCATACAGCTGCCATAACCATATCATCTGATCCATTAACCATCTTCCCAAACGTGGTTGAAAGTAAACAAATGGAATGAGGGGCGTGAGGAAGAAAATGCACCCAAACGAGCTGCTATAAATTAAAAGAAAAGTAAAAATGATCCCCTCCCACTTCATAGTTTTGTTGAGTGTGCAGAAAATACGTCAAATTTTGATTTGTGTTATTTTTTTTGCAAAAACATGATAATATTCTGCATCTCGTCGCCTGGCTATAATCTCAACACAGACCATATGGTGAAGTCAGATAGGTTCCGGGAATTTTGGGCAAAAAATATGTCGTAAAATAAATTTTGATAGGAAATAATTTCTATTGTTTTCGAGTTATGGAACAATATCTTTAAAGGAGCTATTCTATTACTTCATTATTTATTCCATATTTATATTATCTGTTTTGTAGTATTATTTGAAACAAGTTGGTCCGTATTTTTTTTTTACCTCATTTGGTGAGGTAACTATTGTACTTCCTGTTTACCTTGGCCATGTGAGAGAGCCTCTGTGAGAAGAGAAACAAACGGCGATTTGCTTTAATATGTCAAGTTATATATCAGATCCACGTTTGATTCCAAGGATACGCGAAGTAATGTTTGGACAGCAACTTTTCTTAATCAAAGATCCCCAATATCACACGATTAAAGATTTTATTAACCAATCATGGACCCTCAAGGGACATAGAATTCTAGTCAAATCGGTACCTGGTTAAATCGGCACCTGGTCAAATCGGCACCCGGGATATAGTCAAATCGTCACCTGGTTAAAACGGCACCCGATGTAGTTATTTTGACACCCATGTTAAATATGTTGAATATATATCCTGTTTTCAGTATTTTAAGTAAAAAGATTAAAATAATGTGTTGTCCAGAAATATTGACTTATTAACAATTTTTATATGACCTCAAAAATTAAAAAATGTTTTGGTCGTATATTGGTATCACGTTGTACTCGTCGGCGGAAAACAGATGGTTTCCGGATAATAACTTTAGTATAAGTAAATAGAAATCAATAAAATTTTAACACAAGGTTTATAACCACTATAGGAAGGTTGGGATTGATTTTGGGGGTTATGGTCCAAACTGTTTAGGAATTAGGGGCCCAAATAAGCATTTTTGTAGTTTCCAGACAATAACTTGTGTTAAAGTGTATGAATCTCTCTGAAATTATACCACAAGTTTCCATACTACATGTCTATTTTATTGAAACTTGTTATGTCATAAATCTACATTAAATTATCTACGAAATGGTGTATACATGTAACACGCCTATTTCTGTTGTCGGAATCTTACATAGCAGGCCTTTTATGTAGGTCATCCGTATATTATACCGTCTTCTTGTTAAAGTTTCATGATTAGGTCTGTTCCTCAGATTTTATAAGCAGTAGGTTATCTATATGTGGTGTATGGAATGATTGTAAGGGGAACATGTCAGTCTGGCAGGTTTCATCTGACCTTGACCTCATTTTCATGGTTCATTGGTCAGACCTGGGGTAATTAAAAATGTAATTGTAATTAGCTGTAATTAATTACAATTTTGAAAGTAATTCAATGTAATGTGTAATTGAGCATATTTTCAATTACATGTAATTGAAAGTAATGAATTACATTGCCTTTTTGCCATGAAATTATGAATTACTTTTCAATTACTTTGAATTACATTTAAATAATTGCATGGAAATTTTGAACTTTTTTGGCTTTTCTTATGCAACTGGTAAATTTTATTTTTTCCTACTTTTAGTATGCACTTGGTACTTTGATTTTTTTTAAATACGTTTTAAACATTTATCATGATGAAAAAAATATAGCATTCCTTGAAATTTAATTTATCATCATAGCATGTATAATATTAGTAATCTTTATTTGTATTTATTTCATTAATTTTTTCACATGTTTACATAAAAAATCTAAAAATTAAAAACAATACCAATTTATTTACATGCAATATGTTGTTCTAACAATTAACAATAATCTTAGCCTCAGGTTATTCCTTTCACTTTAACTAATTATTAAGTACAAGTTTGTCCCTTGATTATAATGCCAAATGGCAATGTTTTTTTAAATCATCATATTTATATGTTAAAATCTGTACAGATGGATATCATTTAAACACTTTCTACAAAAATTTCAAATACAGCAGTCAAAACATACAAGAAGGGAGTCCAATATACTTGTCAAAAGACAAGTCTGGAAAATGCTACCATTACTCTTCTGTAAATAATACAAGCTTTAAAGTTACTTAAAATTTCACATGAGGTACATAACAAAACATTTAAAATCTAGGTTAACATGTTTTGTAGAAACGTGAAATTTTAACAAAATTTTTTTAAGAATAAAAAATATATTAATTTGGATCTATATAACAAAAATCTTGTTGGAATGTTTTCACTGTTGAAAAGTGCATGTATATATATATATATATATAAAAAGTTTCATTATATTCTAGCCTGTTGTCATTTTTATGATTTTATTCTAAATGATATAGCTCTTACATATCATTGGATAAAGTAATTGAAATGTAATTAATTGCATGGGCAATGTAATTGTAATGTAATTAATTAATTTGAAAATCAATGTAATGTAATTAATTACATTTAAAAATCAATGTAATTGAAATGTAATTAATTACTTTGGCATGTAATTGACCCTAGGTCTGTCATTGGTCAATGTTAAGTTTTTGTGTTTTGTTCTGTTTTTCAAGTACTATAAGCAATAGGTCAACTATATTTGGTGTATTGAATAATTGTAAGGGTTAGATGTCAGTCTGGCAGGTTTCATTAGACCTTGACCTCATTTTCATGGTTCATTGTTCAATATTAAGTTTTTGTGTTTTGTTCTGTTTTTCAAGTACTATAAGCAATAGGTCAACTATATTTGGTGTAGGGAATAATTGTAAGGGTACATGTAGATGTCAGTCTGGCAGGTTTCATTAGACCTTGACCTCATTTTCATGGTTCATTATTCAATGTTAAGTTTTTGTGTTTTGGTCTGTTTTTCAAATAATATAAGCATTATATCAAAAATATTTGGTGTATGGAATGATTGTAAGGTGTACATGTCTTTCTGGCAGGTATAATCTGACCTTGACCTCAATTTCATGGTTCATTGGTCAATGTTAAGTTTTTGTGTTTTGGTCTGTTTTTCAAATAATATAAGCATTAGGTCAACTATATTTGGTGAATGGAATAATTGTAAGGTGTACTAGTCTCTCTGACGGGATTTATCAAACCTTTACATCATTGTCATGGATATTAAAAAATTTTAAGTTATGTGATACTTATCTTTAAGACTTTCAACATAAAATCAATAGTCAGTAAAGCAGGCGAGACATTTCAGCATGTGCACTCTTGTTTTATTTCCCATATTCCATGATGATACCATAATCCAAAATATGATTTGAAATTATTTCAACTACTCTTCCAATTTTCCACCAGTATTGTCTATCACTTTGATTAGTCTTCTTGCAAAGCTGAATGGGACTATAGGTTTGCATTTCAAGAAGCTCTCTTTCTTTGATTTAATCCAAACAAAAAGTACAAATAAGATAATAAACAGAAATAGAAAGTTTAATTTCTCCCAAATTTTAAATCATGAAGAAGAATGAGAATATAGTCCCAGATAAGTATGGCCCTATTGAGAAATATTCAGTGCTTTGTATGTATAATGTTTTAGTAAAGTGATTTTTGATATTTGAATATTTTATGTAAATTCTGACACACATGTTTTTAAAGAAATATCTGTTTTTTAATTTAGTTTCTTCAGTCAAAGAAATCAGGAACATTTACAAGTGTTGTATATCTTTCAGAGGAACTACAGAGAAAATACAGGTAATTTAAGGATATTGAATTTCAAGAACTTCATAAGATACTTCACTTTCTAAAGTATACTATACTATTTTAAATTACAAGATTTTAGAAAGACTGCCTGGTTTTATTTGATTTTGTATTTGTTAGATATTTTTACAAATTTTGTCGTTAAATGTGAAGTATTATTAATGAAGTTAATATCATAGAATTTTTCGGGCCAATATGGACACTTTGTGAGATATGTCTTCAAGTGCAAAAAATATTTACACTTGATATTAAAATGAATTTAATGAAACAAGAAAAGAAACTAAAGATGACTCCATTTGATATGTAATTATATCTTTCAAAAGTATGAAAAAAGTGTCACATATGAAAACTTGTCTGTAAGGGACCTTATTTGATTTGTTAATGATGTTAAACACCCCTGTAGTATAAGTTGTACACCAACTTGGCAAGTCAGACAACTCATTTGATATTGAATTGGAAAAAATTGTCACATGAAGACATAAAGACAATTATTTAAGTATATTGCTTCTCTTTTTTCTTCTTCATTTCTTTAAAAAAATATGTAATAGTCATTGTGTGAAAACAAAATTTTCCTAGCTGGCCTTGTTTAAAGGGAATTAATCAAAAGATATGTTTTAAAACATTTTTAGTTGTATAGCAATATTGTAAACTGGTATACATGTACATCAAACTTGTGCCAAATGTGAAAATCATATAATTTTGTTAAAATATGTGAATATTGATCAAAACAAAAAATATTTTGATATTGTATTGCTATTGCCTGAAATCTTTAATCTGCCACCTTCTCATCTGTTTTCTGATACTTTTCTTTGTGATATAGTTTTGTAATTGAGTGTAACACAAGATGTGAAGTTTAAAGTTAATATTTGTGTAATAAGAACTTCTATGTTTCTCATTATATAGCGAATATGCCAGAAGAAAAAAGAATGTATTTGTGAAATTGGTAGGCAAAGGTATAGTATGTTTTAAACACTATATAATCTTCTGCACAAAGAAAAGGCAGATTTTAGATCAGAGAATTCAAGTTCAAATGTATTTGAAATCACAATTCATGAGAGAATTTCATTGGAGAATTAAATCTACAAATTTGCCATCTACATTGTTTACAGTATATTCACACTGACCTTTAAGATTAAGAAATGCTTAATACAGATTTAGGTATTATATAGTTTTTATCCTTATTTGTACACCTATTTTATGAAGAAAACCAGAAATCTAAGTTGAATTAAAAATAAGAATTATTCATTATTTTGTACATAAATTAGGCTGTTAGTTTTCTCCTTTGAATTGTTTTACATTTGTCATTTCGGGGCCTTTTATAGCTGACTGTGCGGTATGGGCTTTACCCATTGTTGAAGGTCGTACGGGTGACCTATAGTTGTTAATTTCTGTGTCATTTGGTCTCTTGTGGAGAGTTGTCTCATTAGCAATCATACCACATCTTCTTTTTTATAAAAACAAAAAACCTGATGTGCTTTGAAAGTTATTACCTCTGGAGATCTGTAATATTATTGTAGGTCTTCCTTTTTGGTAAATGAAATACTACTACATTAATTAATAAGCTTTTGTTATTGTTTGGTTTTAGATAATACAGTATCATGATTTGTTTTCAGCCTATGGTATAATATTGCAAGAAGAGAAAGACAGAGGTCAAATGAATCATATTGATGATCTTGAAACAAAATACCTGAAAAAGAGACAGAAGAAGAACGACATGTATGAAATCATTTGTTTATTTATATGAACTAAGTTCCTGTACAGTTTCCATTTTGCAGTTTATGAATTGTATTGCTTGACAATGTACAATGACTGTCTACCCTAGGCCTTGTATTGACAATTTGAGGTTTCTCATATAGTCGTTTTCCTCTGTTAATGCTATAGAGGTTACCTAATTTGTGTCATCTGTAACTCTTTTCAACAGTTTTCTCTCAACATCATTCAGAGGATGATCACGTACAGAATAAAGAAGTGAACCTCCTATTTTGGATAGAATTAAATGATTTTATTTAAGATTTCCCATTTATAGACTTTGGTCATTTTTGTCAGTAAATGCTATAGAGGGTATCCATAATGTGTCACCTGTAACTCTGACAGTTCTGTTTCAACTTTATTCAAACTTTGTATTTGGGACCGATGCCCTGCGTGTGCAATTTTGGACCAATGCCCTGTGTGTGCAATTTGGGACCAATGCCCTGTGTGTGCACCTGTCTGTAGACCCTCTGATACTGTGGATTCATTATTATTCGTTGGATACCAATTTTCGTGGATTTCATGGTTACCCAGGAACCAAGAATTCCAATGCCCAATGAATTATAAATTTTCCAAAGGAATTTATGCAGACTTTGGAAAAACCATGAAATCAAATTTCCACGATAATGCAAGTTTTCCTCAATCCACGAAAATAAATGAATCTACAGTAGTCTGTCCTTTATTGGGTATAAGTTTTGGTTAAAGTGAGTATCTCATGAAGTTGTGGTCTCATAAACTTGAAACTTAGTACACATGTTCATTATGATTGGAACTTTAAAAATATTTGCCAAATAAGGATTTTGAACCAGAATGGGACATGGTTTCCAATGGACACCATTTTGCTTTAGGCAGATGTTTGTATCACCTAAATGTAATTTATTTTGCCAAATTGTTGAAATATGATATTTCACATGATAGAAAATTATTAAAAGATAACAGGTATGTACTTTGAATACTTTTATTCTCTTCACATGTCATTGTCTACTTCTGCTAGTGTATTGTAGATGAATTGAGATTGTTAATCCAGCTTATCTAGTTATGAAATTTGATTGGTTGCATTTATTAAGAGTGACAAAATTCTTACATGTGACAATTTTCAAATCTTTATGGCATTGCAGGTTTTTTCTTTGAAGCAGCACTGTGTGATGCAGGTCCAAAACTTAGTATTGGTCTTGTTAATCATAGTTTTAAATAGGTTTTCTTGATTTTTAATGAATAACAAATTTGGACTATTTCAGCATTATTTTTCATCCTTCTAAGTTAGTCAAAATGGTCCAGCAATTTAGTACAGTACCCAAATATAAGTTATGTGATGAAAATCTAATTTAAAAGGCTGGGATATTGTATAAAACAGCTTGAATTGTTTTTTTTAATATTGATTTAAATCAGATATTCTTGTACTAGAATAAAACAAAATGAAATGAAAAAGTATATGTCATAACAATTCAAAATATAAATCAAACTGATACTTGTACACAGTTATGGTATCTGTCATGGTTTTATTTAGTTATGGTATCTGTCATGGTTTTATTTAGTTATGGTATCTGTCATGGTTTTATTTAGTTATGGTATCTGTCATGGTTTTATTTAGTTATGGTATCTGTCATGGTTTTTTTTAGTTATGGTTATTTCATAGTTTTATTATATATCATCTCAATATTTCTATTTTCTAGTGAGGCTATAGATTCTGAGAGTGATTCAGCCAGTTTTTCCTCCGATAACAGCTCATATGTACAGTATGAGGTAAGATGTTCTACAGATAACAGCTCATATGTCCAGTATGAGGTAAGATGTTCTTCAGATAACAGCTCATATGTACAGTAGTATGAGATAAGATGTTCTTCAGATAACAGCTCATATGTACAGTATGAGGTAAGTTGTTCCTCAGATAACAGCTCATATGTACAGTATGAGGTCAGATGTTATTAAGATAACAGCTCATATGTACAGTATGAGGTCAAATGTTATTAAGATAACAGCTCATATGTGCAGTATGAGGTAAGATGATCTTCAGATCAGAGCTGATATGTACAGTATGAGGAAAAATATTCTTCAGATAACAGCTCATATGTATGGTATGAGGTCTGATGTTATTAAGATAACAGCTCATGTACAGTACGAGGTAAGACATTTGTTAAGATAACAGCTCATATGTTCAGAATGAGATAGGATGTTCTTAAGATAACAGATCATATGTACGTTATGAGGTAAGATACTGAAAATCCTGAATCTTAACTTGTCTAATGAACACAAGGTCTAAAATCATTTTCAGTTTCAAGATATATATTGAGAACTATTGAAGTTAGTGGAACGGTCATTTATGTTAAAATTTATTCCATGTAACAGAGATATATCAGATTAATGAGTTAAATCTGTGGATTCCTTTCAGTTCTACCAAAAAATCTTATTCTACTTATAGTGATTATTAAATGAAAAGTATTGAGCTATTCCTGTCCCACCAGTGACACTCATCCTGTTGTTTTTGTTAAAATCCTGTAGGTTATAATAAGGGACAAGGCTTCATACCAAATTAGTTTGGTTGATCACCTCACCAAATTCTTTGAAAGATTTCAGACAGCATATCCCCTTGGTCTAAATGACAATATCTTGGGACAAGGGAACACATCTAAAACTTCCTCTTTTGATATCATTAATATTGTTGATAAAAGACAATGGAATCATAAGTCTCATGGCAATCATATCAACTGCAATCAATGAATTGAACATCCTACTAATTTAACACTAGATGATCTAGTATTTGTTTTCCTGACATACCTAAAAAGATTTTGATTTGAAGAAGGTGGATTGTTTACAGTTTGCTCAATTGTTTTTATTACATAGACTTATTACAGTAAGAGCCACTTTTACTATAGTTGACAAAACTCACCTAGATCCTAGATAGAAATATATCCTTAACTTTATATAAAATTATATGCAATGATCATATTAAGAAAAATTCTTTTTATTCAGGATAAGAACTCTATTAATAATATGATGACAAATATGTATAAGAAAACATCAACACCTAACAGAACAGCTGATCATAACCAGAAATCTACAACTAAACTGTTCCTTATAGACAAAACAGGAGACAGGCCAGAACATTTACAAAGTACATCTAATAACTCAACTAAGAATTCTGACATATTGCTTGATAATTTGGGAGAAAAAACAGACAGTAAATCAGATGTTGTTGTCATTGGTGACGATGGTGACTTTTGTGACGATAGTGTAGATCTAGCACAGGAACCAGACAGACAGAGTAGACCAGGCTCTGTAGTTAGTGTAGATTTAGCACAGGAATCTGACAGACAGAGTAGACCCAGCTCTATTGTTAATGAATCCATTGGAAACAAAAGATCATTAAAGGTATAACAGCAACTTGATAAGAACATCTTTTGAACCTATTATTGTAATAGCATTGCAAATAACATTTTCAAGTGGCTGAAAGATCTGCATGAATAAGAACATAATAGAAATCTGATCAGTATGAGATGGAAAGCAAATCTATGTATTATTAGCTCACCTGGCCCGAAGGGCCAAGTGAGCTTTTCTCATCACTTGGCGTCCGTCGTCGTCGTCGTTAGCTTTTTACAAAAATCTTCTCCTCTGAAACCACTGGGGTACCTAGTTTAAAAAATGTGTCCGATGACCCAGCCAACCAACCAAGATGGCCGCCATGGCTAAAAATAGAACATAGGGGTAAAATGTAGATTTTGGCTTATATCTCTGAAACCAAAGCATTTAGAGTAAATCTGACATAGGTAAAACTGATTATCAGGTCAAGATCTATCTGCCCTGAAATTTTCAGACAAATCTGACAACCTGTTGTTGGGTTGCTGCCCCTGAATTGGTAATTTTAAGGAAATTTTGCAGTTTTTATACGACCGCAAAAATTGAAAATTTTTTGGTCGTATATTGGTATGACGTTGGCGTCGTCGTCGTCGTCGTCGTCGTCGTCGTCGTCGTCGTCTGGCGTCGTCCGGCGTCGTCCGAAGACACATTGGTTTTCGCACTCTAACTTTAGTTTAAGTGAATGGATCTCCATGAAATTTTACCATAAGGTTCAATACCACGAAAGGAAGGTGGGGATTGATTTTGGGGGTTATGGTACCAACAGTTAAGGAATTAGGGGCCAAAAAGGGGCCAAAAATAAGCATTTTTGTAACTTCCAGACAATAACTTGTGTGTAAGTGTATGGATCTCTCTGACATTGTACCACAAGGTTCCATATCACAAAGGGAAGGCTGTAATTGATTTTGGGGGTAATTGCCTCAAAATTTTAGGAATTAGGGGCCAAAAACGGGGCAAAAAACAAGCATTTTTTTAGTTTCATGACAATAACTTGTGTGTAAGTGTTTGGATATTTCTGAAATTGTACTACAAGGTTCCATATCACAAAGGGAAAGCTGGAATTGAGTTTGGGGGTAATTGCCCGAAACGTTTAGGAATTGGGGGCCAAAAAGGGGCCAAAAATAAGCATTTTTCTAGTTTCCAGACAATAACTTGTGTTCAAGTGTATGGATCTCTCTGAAATTGTACTGCAAGGTACCATACAACAAAGGGAAGGCTGGGATTGAGTTTGGGGGTGATGAATCATAAGGGGGTTCAAAAAATTTGGGGGGGGGGAATTTTTTTTTTTCTTTTTTTTTCTTTTTTTCCTTTTTTTTTTCTTTTAAAATTTTCCATTTTAAGTTGGTTATTTCTGATTAATATTTAAAAGCAAATAATAATGATATGGTAGGAGATACACACCAAACAGGATGTGTAAATTATTATATAATTAGTATTGTGCAATAGCAAGAAATTTTCAATTGCACAGTATTGCACAATTGCAAGAAATCTTCAATTGCACAGTATTGCGCAATAGCAAGAAATCTTCAATTGCACAGTATTGCGCAATAGCAAGAAATATCCAATAGCACAATATTGCGCAATAGCAAGAAATTGTCAATTGTACAGTATTGCACAATAGCAAGAAATATTCAATTGCACAGTATTGTGCAAAAGAAGATACTTCGTATAAATTGCTTATTTCTTGATCAATTTCAATGGGGTTTTATTCTTGAATTCTTGGGGTTCTTTAATATGCTGAATCTAACCGTGTATTAAGTTTTTGGATTTTGGGCCCCGTTTTTAAATTGGTCCACATTGAGGTCCAAAGGGTCCAAAATTTAACTTTGTTTGATTTCATCAAAAATTGAATTATTGGGGTTCTTTGATATGCCGAATCTAACCGTGTATTTAGATTCTTAATTTTTGGTTCCGTTTTCAAATTGGTCTACATTAAGGTCAAAAGGGTCCAAAATTAAACTTAGTTTGATTTTAACAAAAATTGAATTTTTAGGGTACTTTGATATGCTGAATCTAAACATGTATTTAGATTTTTGATTATGGGCCCAGTTTTCAAGTTGGTCCAAATCGGGGTCCAAAATTAAACTTTGTTTGATTTCAACAAAAATTAAATATATGGGGTTCTTTGATATGCTGAATCTAACCATGTATTTAGATTTTTGATTTTTGGGCCCCGTTATCAACTTTGTCCACATTGAGGTCAAAAGGGTCCAAATTTAAACTTTGTTTGATTTCATCAAAAATTGAAGTCTTGGGGTTCTTTGATATGCTGAATCTAACCATGTACTTAGATTTTTTATTTGTGGACCCGCTATCAAATTGGTTCATATTGAGGTCAAAAGGGTCCAAAATTAAACTTTGTTTGATTTCATCAAAAATTGAATTATTGGGGTTCTTTGATATGCCAAATCTAACCGTGTATTTAGATTTTAAATTTTGGGTCCTGTTTTTAAATTGGTCTACATTAAGGTCCAAAGGGTCCAAAATTAAACTTAGTTTGATTTTAACAAAAATTGAATTCTTGGGGTTCTTTGATATGCTGAATCTAAACATGTGTTTAGATTTTTGATTATGGGCCCAGTTTTCAAGTTGGTCCAAGTTGGGGTCCAAAATTAAACTTTGTTTGATTTCAACAAAAATTGAATATATGGGGTTCTTTGATATGCTGAATCTTACCATGTATTTAGATTTTTTATTTGTGGGCCCGCTATCAAATTGGTTCATATTGAGGTCAAAAGGGTCCAAAATTAAACTTTGTTTGATTTCATCAAAAATTTAATTATTGGGGTTCTTTGATATGCCAAATCTAACCGTGTATTTAGATTTTTAATTTTGGGTCCCGTTTTTTAAATAGGTCTACATTAAGGTCCAAAGGGTCCAAAATTAAACTTAGTTTGATTTTAACAAAAATTGAATTTTTGGGGTTCTTTGATATGCTGAATCTAAACATGTGTTTAGATTTTTGATTATGGGACCAGTTTTCAAGTTGGTCCAAGTTGGGGTCCAAAATTAAACTTTGTTTGATTTCAACAAAAATTGAATATATGGGGTTCTTTGATATGCTGAATCTAAACATGTATTTAGATTTTAGATTTTTGGCCCAGTTTTCAAGTTGGTCCAAATTGGGGTCCAAAATTAAACTTTGTTTGATTTCAACAAAAATTGAATATATGGGGTTCTTTGATATGCTGAATCTTACCATGTATTTAGATTTTTTATTTTGTGGACCTGCTATCAAATTGGTTCATATTGAGGTCAAAAGGGTCCAAAATTAAACTTTGTTTGATTTCATCAAAAATTGAATTATTGGGGTTCTTTGATATGCCAAATCTAACCGTGTATTTAGATTTTTAATTTTGGGTCCCGTTTTTTAAATTGGTCTACATTAAGGTCCAAAGGGTCCAAAATTAAACTTAGTTTGATTTTAACAAAAATTGAATTCTTGGGGTACTTTGATATGCTGAATCTAAACATGTGTTTAGATTTTTGATTATGGGACCAGTTTTCAAGTTTGTCCAAGTTGGGGTCCAAAATTAAACTTTGTTTGATTTCAACAAAAATTGAATATATGGGGTTCTTTGATATGCTGAATCTAACCATGTATTTTGATTTTGGACATTGGACCATAATAGGTAAATTAAAAAAATTGAAGTTCTTAGACCACATTCTTTCTGTGTCAGAAACCTATGCTGTGTCAAATATTTAATCACAATCCAAATTCAGAGCTGTATCAAGCTTGAATGTTGTGTCCATACTTGCCCCAACTGTTCAGGGTTCGACCTCTGCGGTCGTATCAAGCTGCGCCCAGCGAAGCATTTTATTGGTTATTATCTTGAATATTATTATAGATAGAGATAAACTGTAAACAGCAATAATGTTCAGCAAAGTAAGATCTACAAATAAGTTGCCATGACCAAAATTGTCAGTCGACCCCTTTAGGAGTTATTGTCCTTAACAGTCAATTTTTAACAATTTTTTGTAAATTTTTGTAATCTTTTACAAAAATGTTTTTCTCTGAAACTACTGAGACAAATTTAACCATACTTGGCCATTATCATTATTAGGGTATCTTGTTTGAAAAATTTGTCCGATGACCCCGCCTTCCAACCATCATGGCCGACTTGGTTAAAAATAGAGCATAGGGGTAAAATGCAGTTTTTGGTTTATATCTCTGAAACTAAAGCATTTAAAGCAAATCTGACAGGTGGCAAAAATGTTCATCAGATTTAGATTTATCTGCCTTGAAATTTTCAGACGAATCCGACAATCCGTTGTTGGGTTGCTGCCCCTGAGTTAGTAATTTTACAATAATTTTGCAGTTTTTTGTTATTATCTTAGATATCATTATAATATCTAATATCTAATACTATTAATTATGATTTTAACCTTATTTTACATGATTTCCAAAGCTTGAGAAGATACAGGTGAGCGACACAGGCTCTTGAGAGCCTCTAGTTGTAAAGTGTGAATCTGATTAATTCAATTCATTATAAATGTGAGCTACATCAAATTAATTTCAACTAAATATCAGATGTTTGTACAAAAACATTTTAAAAACAACCATATAAAAATATATTAGATGAATAAATAACAGTTTTTTCCATACTCATTTATTTTATATCTAACCAAGATTCTGTCTTTTTTTTTTTAATACCACTTGCTAAGATGGTGATTAAAAGTTAGAATCACAACAAATATCAACATTCATGTAAATACTGTATTTGGCTTGTTTTGTCTTCTTTTTTTTAGAGATGATTTGGATTTGAAATCCATCAAATCTAATTTAAAACCTTATCTTATTTTATGGAACATTATAATGAATGTCAAAAAGAAAGGTAGAGAACAACACAAAATAGAATTTATGAAGATGTCATATAAGACTAGTTTTAGTACATTTTTCCAAAATTATACCATAATTCTTCCAACAAGTTGAATTAATATTTATACTGTTTTAAGGAAGATTTTAATTATACTTATTTATAAAATTTCAGAAATCAAGTGCCACACCCAAAAAGAAAAGGAAAAGACAGGACAATGAAGAAAAGGAGAAAAAAGGTAAGCCCCATGGTGTGCAAGATTTGATTGAAATTATACTTGCATTGAATTTAAGCTAATCATTTAAAACACATAACGCCCTTATGTTATATTTTCTTTTTATTGAAGAGTTTCATTTCTGTCTGTATTTAAGTTGATAAATATATAATTAAAAACAGGTAGTTGAGGAGAAATGATATAACAATAAATGTTTTTGTGACATAGTCGAAAGGCCTTAATGATTTTGGTAAAAGTACATGAATTTTGGTAAATTTTCAATTATTGAACCCATCGTAGAATTCACCTGACAATTTACTAGTGTTTGTATATATGATTGACATATATTTCCTATAAATATTTTAATTTTTTTTGCAATAGCTAGATATTTCCAACTCTCAATTTTTATAATTTGTTTAGAAAAAAACAAATTTATGATATCTTTCAACCTTAAAATGATAAAAATTCATAATATTTTATGGACTTTACAGTTGGGGCTACTGAATTCTGTCTTTTAAAATCACTTTTTATTAGATAACGAGAAAAGACACTGCTATCATTTTGGTGATTTAAAAGGTAGTTGTTCATGATAAATTCAATTATACAGGTTTAGATTTAAATAAAAGTTTGTGAATTACTACCTGAAGGTCATTAGTTTACCTTTGGCACTCCAGGATTTTTCCATTAGAACTATTTTCCTAATGCTTGTAGTTTAAAGGTTTGGTTGGTTTGCTTGCTTTGATGGTAAAAATGTTTGCTCAAGCATTGTAATTAAGATTGACATCTGCAATCAACAACATTTAAGTATAAAGTATACAAGATGAAGCCCTGCCTATCTATTGATTGCAGATATCTATCTTAATTACAATGTTTGAGCAAACATTTTACAAACAAAGAAAGCAAGCCAACCAAATCTCTAAACTACAAGCATTAGGAAAATAGCTCTAATCATACTAACCTCCATGACAATGTTTAAGTTCAAAGAGAGACATTTAACCACATCAAACAAATAAACAAATAAATATTGTCAGGGATTAATTCAAATATTTTAAAAAATAGTATATACACACCAATAAATTCTATATTTTGGACCATTTCTGTGACTGACCTTAATAGACTAAAAGATGCCAAGTAGCCATTCATTTTGTTTTCTTTACTACTTCTCTCATGATGGACATATGTAATGGGAAAACATTTTATTTCCTATAAAGGCAGACATCATGAACACATTTTATTGTTCACAGGTCCAGATGTACAGAAATCTACAGTTACATTTGCTGATATTGGAGGCAATGATGACAAACTTGTGGTAAGGTTAAAAATTTTAAAGGGCATTAGCTGTCAAATTCATGTTCACCTATTTGACCTAAATTCTCATATTTGATTTATAACATACTTAAAGGTACATTTTCAAATGACAAAAAGTCCAAGAGAAACAATTAACAATACACAGACTCCTTATAATGTACCAGAATTTTGTGCGTCTTTTAGACTAATTAACCATCAAGATGACCTTCAAAGACTGCCAAAGGTCATATAACTGTTAAAACATAAATATAGATATAAATAAACAAATTCACGCATGCAATGGAATAATGACAATTTTTCTAGGTCTGTTTGATTTCATGTTAAAGATTAATAATTTATGTATATCACCATTTTACCTGTATTAGAATGATTTTTTGTGGGCTTGATCAGTCAAGGAAATGGTTATTCCTGGTGTTTCCCTAGTTTCACTTTTCAATGTTGACACTCTTTTTGTTTAAATGAATGAACCACATGGCATGCTAAACACATGCACAACCCATCTCCACTAAAGGTCAAATGGAAGGTTGAATGAATACGGATTCAAATGCGTTGAATTATTGACTTGCAAGCCAATAATACATCAGCAATGTTTTTAGCTTATTTTGACGAAATTGAACCAAACTGACTGCTAATGGCGAAATATTATTTCCATATTCCGCTTTTATAACTATTTGAATTTTGATTGTTGATTTTAAAGCAAAAAAAAAAGTACCTCAAAAAATCCTCAAATATAGAAAATATACCAAAAATATAACCAAAGTTGTGTAAAAAGAAGCATACATCAGTTTTAAGGTAAAAAAAATCAGTTGATTTCAATTACATGATAAAGTATTCGACATTTTTACAGGAAATATGTAAATTGTTGGTACACATGAGACACCCAGAGATATATCAACAACTGGGAGTAACTCCACCTCGTGGATTTTTATTACATGGTCCTCCAGGATGTGGTAAAACACTCTTAGCTCATGCCATTGCTGGGGTAAGTTGGATTGATATATATTTTAAGGAAAAAAAGCAAGAAAATCGTACAGAAATGATATTTAGCAAGCATACACAATTTGGATAGTTACATCTACTTTCATGGACAAACTTTTATCTATAACCTTTTTATATCTGCAGCTCCTATATCCCTGTTAAACAAAATGTTCATCATATGATACAATTTGGCACATTCTATTTTCTTTTTGAAGCAAATAATGCTTGTGGTTTCCCTAAGCAATCATAGGGTGGGGATATCATTCATGAGCTTTGCTCACAGTACCTCTAGTTTTGTTTTCTTAAGGGGAGTATTTAACCGATAGCTGTGGCTACCTTGGCCAGCTCCCTGCAGTGGCAAGCAGATTTTGTTCCTGCTTTCCAAATTGTGTGGAATGACCGTGGACTATTATTTCCTACATTAACCTACATTTCATATTCAGGTTATATATGAGACTATTAATTTGATGATGTGTCATGAAAAGTAAAGAAGGTACATACTAAAATTATGTCATCAAAAGATGTAATGTAGTGTATCACATATACTTTCATTTGAACAGTAGTTTCAGTCACATACTATCTATTGTAATAAGATTTGCAATTAGGCTTTTCACTGTATAATCTACATGAAAACATGTCAATTCTTATTTTTTGTAGGAATTGAGTCTTTCATTTATCAAGATAGCAGCAACAGAAATAGTGTCTGGAGTATCTGGTGATTCTGAAGAGAAAATACGAGATTTATTTGATAGTGCAGTGGTATGTATCAAATATTTATAGGAGGCTAAAGATTTATTTGATAGTGCAGTGGTATGTATGGAATATTTATAGGAGGCTAAAGATTTATTTGATAGTGCAGTGGTATGTATGGAATATTTATAGGAGGCTAAAGATTTATTTGATAGTGCAGTGGTATGTATGGAATATTTATAGGAGGCTAAAGATTTATTTGATAGTGCAGTGGTATGTATGGAATATTTATAGGAGGCTAAAGATTTATTTGATAGTGCAGTGGTATGTATGGAATATTTATAGGAGGCTAAAGATTTTTTTGATAGTGCAGTGGTATGTATGGAATATTTATAGGAGGCTAAAGATTTATTTGATAGTGCAGTGGTATGTATGGAATATTTATAGGAGGCTAAAGATTTATTTGATAGTGCAGTGGTATGTATCAAATATTTATAGGAGGCTAAAGATTTATTTGATATAGTATGTTAAGAAAATGTATAGGAGCAATTTGTTTTCTCCCTTTGGTGGACACCTTTTAATCAGTGCTCAGCTAAATGTTTAAAATGATTTAAACCCCATTAGGGTTATATCGTTTGTGCAGTAAACCAGTAAATTGGCATCAGCAGCATTACTGTGCAATCTAACCAAGTGATTTAATGCAAAATAAAATTTAAATATGCAATGGAAACAAATACTCTCTCTGTGAGCTCATGAGTTGCAATATTCTTAAATCTCAATAGATAAATAGATTTTTGTTCATTTCTTAAAATTTCATTACAAATTTTAAATTGTGAAGTGAATCTCTCTATCTGATTGCATAGGAAGAAATACACATGAAAATTCATATATTTTACCAAAATTTCAAGCAGTTATGATAACATAGAAATTTTTGAATTATCACTATTGGCAGTAAAATTCATAATTTCCAGATTTTCCTTTTAGCTAACCAGGATCAGTACGAGCTTAACTTAAGTGTCCATTTGTCTATTGGTTTTTGATTGATATTTTCACATCTTCAGCTTCTTCTATGTATTATTTACACACAGGCTGCTGCACCATGTGTGTTGTTTATAGATGAGATAGATGCCATAACACCAAAGAGAGAAACTGCTTCTAAAGACATGGAAAGAAGGATTGTGGCTCAGTTACTGTCTTGTATGGATGGTAAATGTTATTGAATGATTTTTGGAGTTGCAACAGCTACATTGAATGTTTCTAACTTTATTTAAAAATACAGAAATTCATTTATTACATATGCAAAAATATTTAAATCTTTGAAAGATGAAAGTGGTACTGTGTATAAGTTTTATTTTCGACAGGCAGTGTTTGAACATGGTTTGAATGTCTAGCTGTGAATTAAAAGTATTAGATTAGTCTTTTTGTCAAAATAGAAATATTTTTTGAAAAGCTAAATTTTGAACGTAGAAATGATTTTGATTATTATACCTTATATTGTTCCAAATTCAAAAAGGTAAGTACCAGATAAGTTGGGAAGTCAAGTGGTATGGTCAAGGTCACAAATATTATGTCTGTAGCCTTTGTGTATGTTTAAACCCTCTAAAAGGATATGATTATTTTGAGTGTTTGTAAAAACAACACAGTGTTAAGGAAAAATCTAAAAGGTTTCAACAGACAAAGAAATTGATGATGAACGATTAAAATAAATTCATAATACACATTTAAAGCTAACAAGTTGTTATTGTTGGCATTTGTTTTTGTATAGACCAATAGAAGTAGGTTCTTAATATTGAAGACTTGATCATTTTGATAGGCCACTAGTCTAAATACCACATGTTAAGATAGTCGGTAAGATAAATTCATTACACAGTGTGTTTGTGACCTAATACGATATATATGGGGTGAGCGCTTCCCCCTCACCCCATATGGAATTTACTGACCCCATATATATCGTATTAGGTCACTAGCACACTATGTAACTAATAATATCACAATTATTTCTGAATTTACAGTTCACTAAGGCAAAACTTGGACATAGACACCTGCATACCTTTCAACCTCTGAAAACGTTTAACCTAATTATTAGACTTGATATTTCATCAAATCATAAGCCAAAGATCAAGACTGCATGACTACCATGTAATGTAAAACCATTTTTAGACTTGATATTTTGGCAAATAATAAGCCAAAACATCAAGACTGCATGACTACCATGTACTTTTATTTCAATGGACACCATATACCACAAGGTAGAAGCCCAAATTTGGGTTATACCATTAGGTTAAATTAAACTCCGTCTGGTGAACCAACGCCTGTGTGAATCCTTTCAGTAGAGTCCATGAAGTGGATACCTTGGTATGCAGGGTTGTCAAATAATGCAAATGAATGCAACACTTAAATAATAATAAAAATTGACAACAACACTTCAAATGGTCTGCAACTTTATTTACTATGGTCTACATGTTTCGCCTGCAAGGCAGGCGTCATCAGGACAATTTACATACAGAAATTATTTATTGAAGTACCAAAACTGGTATCTTGAATTTGACGTCACAATGTGTGTTGTCAAGGTGAGAGAAACAATGAAAAGTGAAAGTAGCAATAAAGAGTTATAAATAGATAAGATAAATATAGAAAAATAAAGTTTGTTTACAATGTAACTTGAGTTCGTTTTACTGTTATATGATACATGACATTGTTATAAAGGCTTGGTGTCTATATGGACGAACTTCCCATGGTTCCTACCACTTTGCAAGGCTTCTCTTCCAACCTGGCCATTGTTGGTTGTTACTACTTCCTGGCACGTCGGTAACAAATGGCAGATTTTGATTGCCATAATGGAAAATATAATTGTCCGAAATCGTTCCCTTGTAGGAACCATGGAAAGTTCGTGATTTGATGAATTCACGGGTTATTTGATGACCCGGACTCGTATTAAAAAATCTTGGGTGAGCTGGTAAATTCACGGTTTACACCAGCAAAATATGCGTCAGTTGACAGGAATGCATCTGTTAATTTCCTCACCTTGACTCTTTCTATTTAAAAATATTTTGGCTGACATCACTTAACACATTTACACAGCAATTGTTAGAACAACATTAATATTTTAAACATTCCTTTTACTTTTATAGGAAATACACCATTCACAATATAACTTAACACACATAATTATTTTGATAATTGATTTTAAGGAGATTTTCATGTTATCATATTTGAGTTCTAATACAGATTTTTCTGTTTTCAGATTTGAGTTCTAATACAGATTTTTCTGTTTTCAGATTTGAGTTCTAAGACAGACTTGCATGTATTAGTGATAGGAGCTACTAACAGACCTGATTCATTAGATCCTGCTTTACGAAGAGCTGGGAGATTTGATAAAGAAATCTGTCTCGGTATTCCTGATGAATCATCTAGAGAAAGGTAACAGATTGTTTACAGTTTGCTAGAGTCTCAACAGGCATTCTCTAAGCAGCTTAATCTGATGGCTTTACATACATTAGTAATCTGCTGAAAGATATTTAAATCATGTAAATCTAAATTTGAATCACTGTCGTTGACAATTAAACAATGAAAGGAAGATATTTACAGTTACCTGTATGACTGGTGAATGGGCAATGCAGCAGACTCATACATGTGGTGAGTTGTCTCATTGGCAATCATACCACATCTTCTTATTTTTATATTGAAAGTAAAAGGAAATCTAGAACTACATTGACATTGTTTAATTTCTACTTGGTATCCTTCAATGAAAAAAAACATGTAAATCAAGAAAAAATACTAGTACACATTTAATCATTGACTAATCAGTAGTTGAAAATCTTTGCCAGTAGTGGTACTCTCAGTTGTAATTTGATAAGGAAATTAAAGATTTCCTGTATAATTTATGTCTGAACAAATTTTAACAGTATATTTCTGTTTTAACAGGATTTTAAGAGTATTGTGCAGAAATTTAAAACTGGTAGAAAATTTTGATTATAAATTTCTAGCTAGAAATACTCCAGGTTATGTTGGAGCTGACTTGACATCTCTGACAAGGGAAGCTGCCATGGTTGCTGTTAATAGGTAAGTAAAGGAGGATCTGTTTAGACTTTAATTTCTTATACATATGGTGCCTTGAAATAATTTTTAGCTTTAATGGATGATTTTTTTTTCTTTGATGTTCAATTATTTAAGTATTATACATGAAGAAGCTTTCAAAAATTGGAAGTTATTTTTTATTAAACAGCTTTTTAATTTGCTTTAACAAGTTGAGGGTGAAAATAAGAGTACTGTTTAGGCCCACACATAACTTATAACTTTTTATCCAGTGGAAAGGTGGAGTGAGTGCAGAAATACTGGACATCCATCTATGTGTCCACCTAGTCTTGTAAACACTCTACTGTGAACAGTTCTTGCCAGATTTTTATGAAATTCATATCAAAGGTTTTTATCAGCAATGTCTCAGACATGATAGAAAATCAGTGCTGATTAACTATTCTTGAAGGAGTTATGTCCCTTGGAATTGTAGATTATATGAAATATTGCATTGTAATCGCCCTTAAATCTGCAGTTACTGAAATAAAACAAGCTCAATGTTATTAAACTCATGATCTGTGAAATCACATGCTATCCTATACTATTACTGTTTTAATTATTACATAAGGTTGTCAAACCAATTTGGTGGAAAGGTAAAATTTATAAATGTAAATGACCTTTGTTTTAATATAGGGTGTTCAGTGACTTGCAGAAAAGCCTATTAACAAATCCTGTCGAACTTAAAACAGATTCAGCTATATCAGTAGTTCCTGTTATCTCAACTGACCAAACTGGTGGTGATACAGTCAATAGTACAGTTAATGGTAAATCAGCAAGTGACCATAGGGTATCTGATACTCCTGAAGATATGGAAACAGAAACAAGCAGCATTTGTATAGAAGATAAAGCTAAAGATGTAAATTTCAAGTCATTAACACTTATAGATGGTAAGATGATAGTTTTTAGTACACCAATATGTTCTACTCTAATATCATCCCTCTGTACAGGTGTTATCGTGCAGGGAATAGTTACAATCCTATTTGATTTCTTTACATTATATAACTTATTACATAATTACAGTCATAAGACATAATAAAATCTTTAAAATAAAAGTTTTCTGTTGGCAGTCTTTTTTCCACAAAATGAGCTTGTGTTTGGCATATCACATAGGTTCTGGTCTGAAAAAAAAACATTCTTACAATTAGGGTTCTAAACAATTTTACAAATATCCTTTATTTTTATGGCTGAAATGGTTACAATGATATACATGTATAATGTACTTGCCACATGTATGTTTCAACAGTTTTATTTTGGTAAATGTACTACTAAGACTAGGGAGGTTTTTCTGTGAGAAACATTAGTCAAATTTTGCAGATGCCAGGTGAGCAATACAGGCCATTTGATTGATTGATTGTTTTTGCTTAACATCCAGTGGCAAATATTTCTTGCATGTTCAGGATGATAGGCAATTGTAGCCTCTTGTTCACTGATATTAAATTAATGATTATATAAAATCATAATTGTGTGCTAACATTTTCAGGTCAGCAGAATTAATACAGAGAAGCATTTAAATTATAAATTCCAAGAGTTATGAGAAAATTCTTAAAAAAAAAGGACCAATTTGACTAAGAAATTATTGGCTATTTAGCACACACCATTAAGGAGTAGGAGCAAGACTGGTTGGTTGACTTGAAGTCAGAATAATGTGATGGGATAGGACGACATGTCTTCCTGCAGACTAATACCTTGTGAGAAAGAGGTTAAAAATCTTACCCTAGTGAGACTAATACAAAGCAGGGTATTTTCATTGAAAATAATCATGATATCATCCGGAAAATGCATTTCATATTTGCTGCTTGACATTAACATGATTAAGCAATCATACATAAACATAACATTTTTTATTATCATTTTTAAGCATTATCATGGCTTAAAGAATTCCCACCATTAACCAATGAACAGTTACAGACTTTGAATATAAATCTGCAAGATTTTGAGGCAAGTGAAATAATCAGTATTCTGTAAAAATATGAATATGTATGATGAGGAAAGTGAAATAATTAGTCTTACATAACAAATATGAATATATATGAGTAGGCAAGGAAAATATACAGTATTCTGTAAAAATATGAATATGTATGAGGAGCCAAGTAAAATAATCAGTATTATATAAAAAAAAAATTAAAATATGAATATGTGAATCAGGGCTTCCAAAATTATTTTTAGCCAGCCGGACATTTTATTTATTATCCCAATTTTATTCCCTTAAGACTAAATAAACAAAAGGCAATTATGGTAATCAGTTGCCGAGTTGGCCATCCCAATGATTGACATTAAAAAAAACGATATTAAATTTTCTTTGATTCAAATTCGAAGTTCTGACGTAAACTGTTAAATTGGCAGTGCATCATTCGAAGTGTGCAACATCAGCGTATGTATATCTGCCTTAGACTCTTTATTTGTGCAAAATAACATTTACTTTTGTTTTTATACTGGATGTTATCTTGACAATGGTCAAATATGGACCAGAGACGGATACGTAAATTCCGTGTACGTTTGCAAAGCGTGAATGAGTGGAAGTAGCTCTTTCTACGTTATTTCTTCTAGAAAATATTCGAAATAAACGTGAGATAAAGGTATCAATGACAATTTAAGCATTTTTTGAAGAAATTAGGATGCATAATTAAATTTCACACCTGCGCACATGCACACATGCGCACACGTGTACTAGTTCAAACAGAGACATGTCTCTAGGTTCAAACAACGTGGTTATGACGATTTTTCATTTTCACCTTTTTAATTTTTTCATCAAATCATATTTGTAAACGTATTTCTGATAATTTAAATCTTTTTGACTATATTAATTAGATGCAAACCGCTGAAATGTAAGAACATAACTTTGAATAGACCGATAAATGTCCGGTTCAAAATAGTTTACCTGTCACCTGAACAGGTAAATTTCAGCTGTTTGACAACTAATTAGCCTTGATTAAAATGAGAAGGTATTAAAGTAGGGGTTGTTTTGATAGTACTTAATGATCATGTCACTTTTATGACCGGAAATGTGTGGCTGTTAAAGGCAAAACGTTGGGTCAAAAAGATCGCGAATTATGTTAAATGACCGTCTCTTAAAGCCTTGAAAACTAAAAAGTAGTTGACCGTTTCACGCTTTGCCCAGGCGGACTTTTACCAGACATTGTACAAATGTCCGGCATATATGACCGTTTTGGAACCCTTGATGTGAATCACTGTAAATTCAGAAATTATTGCAAGGTTTTTATTAATGCGAATAATGTGACTTGTTAAGTCGCACCATAATAAGAACTCAAATTCTGATATCTGATGCATATATCTGTATGCAGATTTTCCTTAAATCACAATTATTAATTTCGTACTTTCTTCCATTCGACAAAAATTGCAATAATTTCTGAATTTACAGTAATAAGTATTATATAAAAAGATGAAGATGAATGAGGAATCATTATTGTGTAAAAATATGATTATGTATGAGAATAATGAATAGGAGCAGATCATCAGTCTTGTGTACATGTTTACTGTAATGGTAGACCTTCTAGAAATGAGGTTTGCAATATGATGAGCATGTGTCAAATATGGATATACCACTTTAAAGATGTATAATATAGGCTTTATAAATAACACTGTCTAAATGGAAATATTACCACATCTCCATATTTTTATATTAAATGTGAGAAATAATCAAAAGTTGCATAGATTCAAATGTAGGTCACAATGACCTTAATTATGTAAATTTTTAATTGTTTTAGGAAGCTTTAAAACATGTGCAGCCTTCTGCCAAAAGAGAAGGATTTGCTACAATACCAGATGTTACATGGGATGATATAGGTGCTCTTCATGCTGTTAGAGAAGATCTACAATTAGCTATTTTGGTATGAATCATTGTTGTCAGTTTTGATTGTAAAATCATTTTCAGGGTCAATGAAGAAATTAATGTGACATATAGAATTTTATTTTCAATATCAGATTCATCAGTTATTTGTATCTCATCATAGGTTTATGGCAACTATAAAATATTATTACATAGATTCTTTAGATAGTATATTCAACTATATAGATGCTTTAAATAAAGACTTGTCATTACATGGCTACAAAGTTGTGTTTGGCCAGTGTCAATTGACTTCTTGAGTGACATTGATAAAAAAGAATTATTTTAAATTTTGAAAGATTGATACATTTTTGAAAATGATTGTCCATGCCTGATAGCTATTATATTGTAAATTATACTTGACAAGGCACCAGTTAGACATCCAGAAGCATTTAAAGATCTAGGTTTATCTAAAGCTCAGGGAATACTGTTGGCAGGACCACCTGGATGTGGAAAAACTTTACTGGCAAAGGTAAATCTTTATTTCACTGTTTAAGTTAAAAGTTTATCCTGCTTGAGGTTAAGCCTAAATTCAGGGGTGAGGGGATGTCCTTTGACCTCACAAAAAAAGATACCTATTTGTATCTGAGTCACTGACAGACAAATGAAAAAACTTTTGATACAGATCTCTGACTTTTGCTCAAGAAAGGTCAAGTGGAATGCTAAAAATCAAGTATACAATTGGTGTAGCCTACAAATAAGGAAAATTTGAATGTTTATGCTAAATTTATCATTTTATTTTTTTTTAAACCTGGGCATCGTGAACTACTGAAATGCTGGGTAATAATAGAATTTCACTAACCCTTTTAAAATTTCATGTTATCTGCAATCCTGCACTTCCAGATGCAAAATTCTACACATTCCTTTAAAATGACAAAAACAATCACTTCCGATTTTGACACAAAATATATCTTTTTTTAATGAAATGTGCATTAGTTTGTTGTCTTGAAGTGTAAAAACTCAGATAAGGTGAAAGGGTTCAAAAGGAAACCATTTCTTTGTATTATTTTAAAGAAAAAAAATTGTCGTATTAATTTTTCTTATTGAAATTTTTTTCTTTCAAAAAAGATATCGTTTAGGTAGAATTTAAAGATTTATTATCTTTCAAGGGAAGTAATCACATGACTTTTTTTGGACTGAAGATTTTGTTGGGTTTACACAGGATACATTACAAAAGAATATTCACTGCATATCCTTACACAAGTTTTCAGTTTACACTAGTTTCTGTTTTATGCAGGATTTGTTTATAGACAAGTTTTTACTGTATTTAGTTTATGTACTGTTGTAGCTGTAACTTTTATACATGTAACAGTACAAATGTTTCTATAAAATACAACATGTTTGTTTGATTTCAGGCAGTAGCAAATGAATCTGGAATCAACTTTATATCAGTGAAGGGACCTGAGTTATTAAACATGGTAAGTAAAGGCTTCATTTATACTCTACTCTAGCTTTTAATATATTTAAAAGTATAAAAATAACAATCTTGTTAAGGATTGCATTAGAAAATGCAATTAAAAATGAAAGGATTTATATTATAGCAAGATGAGTGACCTGTTGTAAATTATCTATCGTAACTGTAAATGACATAATTTTAAGCAGTATATTTAAACAAGGAATGCACAAAAATAACTTCAAAGTGTTGTTTGCTGATTTCATTACACAATTCAAGTACCTAGTTATAGTGTGGTTTACATGAATCAATATTATTCCACTGTATGTAAATATTGATAGTAAAATCAACATGTGATTGGTTGAGACGATCCCACCTGACATTCAACAAAACTTCATATTCCCCTCTGAAGATAGGGACTACCTCATGTGACTTTACGCACTGTTAATGTACATAACGCTTTGAACGTTTTTTTTTTTTAAATAGTGATAGTATAGTCATTGTGTTTAAAATTGTTTCAGGCGTATATAATAATTTTGATCGTTATTGCTTATCAATGTTTATGTCGTGTTAAGTTATAAAAGTAACCGGATAAGAAACATTTTATGTTAATTAATAATTTATGTTCAAAAAGTTAAAAAAAAGTGTAGGCAGTGGAATTAAACATTCATTTCCCTTTGCTTAGGGAGATTTTAAGATTTGTCCACCCTATGAATTTTCTTGGGTGAACAAATCTTCATATCTCCTTCAGAAAAGGGAACTAAATGTATAATATTTCTAAAAATTTTAAATTCATAAAATAATATTACTTCAAATATTTTTTTTTATGAAGTTTGTAATTTCACCATATATTTTATTATACCAAAATATGAATTTGTAACAATATTTGTATATGAACATAGTATGTAGGAGAAAGTGAGAGAGCAGTCAGACAGGTATTCCAGAGGGCCAGGAATTCATCACCATGTGTCATATTCTTTGATGAATTAGATGCTTTATGTCCAAGAAGGTCTGACTCTGGAGAGGTATACTAGTTATGCTGTAATCATCTGACTTTTACTAAATTGTTAAAGTTTTAATAGAATAATTATATCGTTAAATAAATTTGATTTACAAAAACAAATGATATGAGAAAACGTTTTTTTAATTCTGATAAAGTTCCTGAACCACCATGGGAGGAGCACATCATAGGAGGGGCATGTTTTAACAAATGTGAAAATATTTTTTTTACTACCATATGCTTTTATCTTTAACATTTTAAATTGACTGTTATTTGTTTAAGATGTGAAAATCATAATAAGAATAGAGATAACCACATATTTCATAGGATGTATGGTAAATATAAGCAGTACTAATATCAGTATGAATAGGACTTATGAAGTATAGATATGAAACTTATAAGTATTTATAATGTTCAAAAAAGATTATGAGTATTTGTATGAAACTTAATAAGTATTTGTAATGTTTTAAAAAGGGTTCATTGTGTGTTAATTTATGTTTTTTGATTGAGTTCAGCCTTCCAATTGATATTTTATAGTGTATTTTCCTATGTTGTGATGTTATACTATTGTTTCAGAAAAGGGAGAAGGCTTGGTACCATTAAAACGTTTAATCCCGCTGCAAATGTTTGCACCTGTCCTAAGTCAGGAATCTGATTACAGTAGTTGTCGTCTGTTTATGTAGTTCATACATGTTTCTCGTTTCTCGTTTTTATATAGATTAGACCGTTGGTTTTTCCGTTTGAATGGTTTTACACTAGTAATTTTTTGGGGCCCTTTATAGCTTGCTGCTCGGTGTGAGCCAATGCTCCGTGTTGAAGGCTGTACCTTGACCTATAAAGGTTTACTTTTATAAATATTAACTTGGATGGAGAGTTGTCTCATTGGCACTCATACCACATCTTCCTATATCTATTATGAATATTTGTATGAAACTTTATAAGTATTTATAGTGTTTAAAAAAAGTTTTGACCTCATTAAAATTCTATGATGATAAAACAAAAAGCTTTTAGTCATCTGAGTGTAGATAGAGATACTGGCATACTGGTAGCTTAAAAACTATACATAATAGGTTGAAAATGTTTGTATGTGAATTAAATATATTTACATCATCATTCAAGCCTTACAGATTATATTTGACCAGTGAGTGGACTCAGTTTAAGAGTTCATTCCCCCAATATTGTTGCCTGTACTTTCTGTTTGTCAGGTAATCACTTTGTTTATTCTGGTGTGTTACAGGGTGGATCAAGTGTTAGAGTTGTAAACCAGCTGTTAACAGAAATGGATGGATTAGAGGAGAGGAAGAGTGTATTTATAATGGGTGCTACTAATAGACCTGGTATGATATAGTTTTAATTTCCCTAATAAGTGTCATATTAAAACCCCAGTATGAGGCAGAATACTTATTTAAGATTTTTGTTAAATTTTAAATTCCTTTTTATGGAATGCATGTGCTTGAATGTCCTACGCTTTTCTAACAGAAAGTGTGGCTAAATATGTTAGCCTAATTTCTTCATGGATCAGTGATCAAGGTTAAGTTTTTGTGGTCAAGTCCACATCTCAGATACTATAAGTAATAGGTCTACTTTATTTGGTGCATGGAATGATTGTAAGGTGTACATGTCCAATTGGCAGGTGTCATCTGACCTTGACCTCATTTTCATGGTTCAGTGGTTAAAGATAAGTTTTTGTGTTTTGGTCTGTTCTTATACTGTATGCAATAGGTCAACTATATATGGTGTATGGAATGATTGTAAGGTGTATTATCTGTCTGGCAGTTATCATCTGACCTTGACCTCATTTTCATGGTTCATTGGTCAATATTAAGTTTTCCTGGTTAAGTTTGTTTCTTAGATACTATATGTAATGGGTCAACTCAATTTAAAGCATGGAATGATTGTAAGGTGTACATGTCTGTCTGGCAGGTTTCATCTGACCTTGACCTCATTTTCATTGTTCATTGGTCAATATAAAGTTTTCATGGTTTGGTCTGTTTCTTGTATACTATAAGCAATAGGTCAACTTTATTTGGTGTATGGAATGATGTATTTCTGGCTTGGTTTATCTGACCTTGACCTCATCTTCTTTCAGGACTATCAACATGAAATCAATGGTCAGTAAAGCAGGCGACATTTCAATGTGTGAACTCTTGTTAATGATATATTTATAAATCTAAACAAAATTGTCGATGTTATCAAAATTCTAGATCCAAACAAGGCATATCATGCATCTTAGCTAGAAGCAGCATATTAGGATGTATTCCTCTTAGTCTTGTGTTGAATTTTTACTTTATTCATTTTTTTTCTAATTATACAGCCTTTTGATGGAAACTTATGACAGACAATTGATATTTGTAATGCTTTTGTATGAGCATTTGAATACATGATAGACTATTGATATTTATAACACTTTTGAATGACCATCTGAATACATGCATCTCATTTTAACTCTTTAGTCATATTCCACCAAATTTGAAGTCATTGTAATGTTCAGTGTAAAGTTTTCTCATGGGATGAGTTTTATAATCACTAACAAAGGAATGCAGTTACATGGCAATTTGGTGCAAAACAGGACAGAAATATCTCTGTATCAACAGTTTTATGTATTGTGTAATGCTCTTTTATTTAGTTTCTAAATATTTTAATAACATGAAATGTAATTTTGTCTGATTGCAGATATAATAGACCCAGCCATTTTAAGGCCAGGCAGGTTAGATAAGACATTGTATGTAGGATTGCCTTGTCCTGATGACAGATTAGATATACTCAGAACCATTACAAAGGTATTTTTTTCCTTTCTTCAACTCATCCTAAGGATAATACAAAAATCTACACACCCTATGGCTTAGCTTATTTATTATATCAGTGGCAAAAAGATAAATCATGTCCATACTTATAAAATAATGTGTGTAGTAACACAAGCTTTGATCAAAAGTTTAAAATTTTCTGTTTATAATGAAATGATCAAATACCTCAAGAAATATTAACAGATTAAGTACAAATTGATATGGAATAGTTTCCATTGTACTTGTATTTGCTAGTACTGGGATTTTACAAATCTTAGGAAACTAATTCCTTTAAAAAAAGTATCAAATAAGCTTTAATTGAATTTTATATTTTTTGTATTCAGAATGGAACAAGACCCAAACTTTCAACGGATGTAGATTTAGAATCCTTAGCTAAAGATGAAAGATGTAATTGTTTTACGTAAGTATTAACATGTCTGCAATTTTAACCCTGTAAAGAGCAGAAATATGTGGTGAAAGGGACTTTGAAACAAGGATTTTAATCTTCAAGGTGTTACGACCAGAAAAATCGACTTTTAATTGTAGCCAACAAAAGACACAAATCAATAATAAAATTTAACAAAGATATATTATACACTAGTTTACAAGAAGTATTACACAAATAGAAATGTCAACTTAACTGTCAAAATATGAGTCCAATCTTTTATCTTTTTTTTATCCGGAAATCTTCTCGGGAATCCACGCAGAATATTACGTCCAATAGGTCACGATCTAGTATGATGTAGTTTGTAAATAAAAATGTCAATCCAACTGCTAAGAATATTAATGTCTATCGATGTCTATGTCTACATCTAACTTTAGGGTCTGCATATATATACTTGTAACGGAAACTTCTAGATAACTGTAGATGTTTAAATTACGCATCTTTTGTTATGATAATTCTGGAAACATTGTTTAAGTGAAATGGAAAGTTCTAATCATTCCACGAGTATCTATGATTGTTCCAGTGATTTCTAAACTGCATAGTTGTAACACAATGTAAAAAATATATAATGTAAACATTCTCAGGCCACACAAAACAAATTAGGCCAACTAAATAAATATGATAGTTACAATATCATAACAAAGGGTACAGTTCCTATCTCCAATGTTTACTGCATGCAACTTCAATGAAGAAAATTTTCCACATGTAACGTTCCTGTCCATTACAGACTTCGTTCTTGAGTTATGTATTCAAACCTTTATTAGCCCAATTACTCATGTGCCTAGATATTCTAAATTCCTCATTGTTATTCTCCTTCCAATTAATGGCCAAGCAATATAATTAAACACTCTGTCCTCCCATCTTTTTGAAATATATAACAATTGACCAGACTTTGTCTGTCATGTATGTAAATTTTGAACTTATTTTTTGTTCATGCATATAACTGGATACTGATAGGTAACATATCCATAATTCACTTCCTTAATTTTGCTCTGATTTTTTTGGTCAAAATTACTGCCCTTGAACCTGTAAAATTTTGTAAAAACTGTGCTTAATAGAATTGCTTAGCTTGGAGACATTGAATGTAGTTTAATGATAAGGAACCTCAGATAGAGTTTTGTTTTGTGGCGTTTTACTTCCTCTGGTCTACTGGTCTTGGATCTTGAATATTTCTTGACAGTAGTATTTGTCCATATGATTTCAAAGAAATTGCTGTGCTTGCAGATTTTTGTCGTAATTTTTGGTATGCAGTTATAATGGTTTTATAACTATGGGTTACAAATCTTATTTGCATTTTGTAAAGTTGATGACTTATAGCACAAGTAGTACTTTATTTGACTATAATGTGTAATAGCATAGTATTTTTATGATAAAAAAAAATGTATGTCAGAGTACTAAAAGTAAATTGGTTTAAGGCAATGGTATAAATCTGTTTAGAAAATATTGTGAATGATGCTGAATTCTGTTATGAATTTACTTAATTAACACTATCTTTTTCAGTGGAGCAGATCTTGCAGCCTTAGTTAGAGAAGCTTCAATGTCTGCTTTAAAAGTTATGATATCTAGTCAGGATACAAGTATAATAGAAGTAAACAAGGAGCATTTCAATACAGCATTCACAAGAGTCAGACCCTCTGTGTCACAAAAAGTAAGTTTCTTTAACAATACAAAAAGAACATAAAATTTTAATGATCAGATATTTACAAAGAATACCAGTCTAGAGAAGGTAAAATTTTCAGAGCCACCAAGTTTTTATTTTGCTTAAAAAAAACAAGAAAAAAACCAACTATAACCTCCAGCAATTTATCAATTCACAATCTAAAGGACCATATGGTATTTCGATATTTATCCCCCAAAATGAAAATAATGTTGTGTCATTTGATCGAAATGAATTGCTAAAGTGTATCAATTCAGGATACAATATTAAAACACATGAGGCCTTCAATATGGAGCAAAAACTGTAAGATCAAGATGGCCCCTAGCACTGGTTTGAGTAGAATCACAACAAAATTATTTTTTTGGAATGAATTCAAAGATAAGACAAAACTGAAAACAGCTTGTGTGGTTGAAACCCTTGAGATAAATGCTATCATAATGGGTACTTGGCATTTCATCTGCCAAAAGTTGTACGTATAGGTGGATTGATTGATGGCTGCTGAGTCCAGCAGCAAATACTACATGCATATTCAGGATGAAAACATTTTAAACTGAAATATGAATATTCTAAAATAAGAAGATGTGGTAGGATTGCCTCTCCACCAGAGGCCAAATGACATAGAAGTAAGTAATAGTCTGCTTTGTACTAAACTGACATGTTGAATCAGATTCATAACATGCTAGTTCACAAGGTAACTGTCTGTAGGAAGACATGTCACCCTTTCTGTACACCTTACTCTTGACTCCCGTTTAACAAGTCTGCTCAACCTTCTAAATGCTGCACGCTTGGCATAGAAGCAGCAAACACAGATTGTGAAAATCTTTGATGAAACCCAATACCCAGCACTCAATAACTGTAACCTGATCTTTTTTGGTTGGTTCTATTTACTTTCGAGTAAGGTTGATTTTTACGACCTCAAATGACCTGATTTTTTATGCCTTAAATGAGTGAAGTAGGATTTCATAGTTCAAGGGTACTGGATAATTTTGTTTACCTAAAATTTGTAGATATTTAAGGGTACATGTCATCAAAAATTTTTAAAAGCTATTTTTAATAATCATACCTAAGCCAAATGATTTCTAACAATAATAATTCATCTTAAAACTATAGTCTTGGTATTTTCAATGCTTTAAAAAAATTGAGATATATATCTTTGTATAATGCATTATTTAAACAAAACGTTGGATCTTAATTTAGTTTCAAATTAATTTAACTTTGATCAGAAATGTTGATATAATTACATAACTTAATATTGACTTATTAGAGTATATTCAATAGTAAGTAAGCAAGTGCACTTTATATATAGAGTGAAAAACTTATAAATAGTTTTATCTTGCAATCAGCCAACTTATTGTACAAATAACAGGTACATAAATAAATTTTTGCTTTATTTGTACTTGTACAAATAAAGTTTCCTGTTACCCCGCTTCCATGTTGAGCAAGTGGTAATGTGGATATTTCTTTTTGTAACAGTTTATTTTGAGGTCTTCTTCACGGTCTGTGTTAAGAGAAAATGATTTAGCTTCAAGTGCTGGTGTAAACTGCAGGATAAAAACAATATATGTACATAGTCGGAAATGTAAAATGTATTTGTACTCGCTACAAAATAGAAGAAAAGCTCTGCAAGCCTCGCTTTTCACCCTGTTTCTAAAGTTTGTACAAATACATTTTATTTTTTCCGAGAATGTACATATATTGTATATAACAATTAACATGAGATTTATAAAGCTATTACAACCAAATACATACAAAGACAAAGAGAAGGTGTTAATGTATTTAACTGAGACTGTCAAATATTAGCCATCAATACTAAGTTCCCCTAAAAACAAAAACATTTAGATATAACTACAGACCACCACTTATAAAACTTTGTACAAGCACATGTGGCTATATATGGAATGTCGTCAATATTTGGTGTATGGCTTTGTTCTTACCAGTTTTTATTAATCTAGCATACAGTATATAACATGGTCTCAGCCTCATTTTTACACCCCAGGGCCCTCAGTTATAAAACTTTACTAAGTACTGTGAGTACAAAATTTGTGCTCGAAACAGCAAATCCTGTATTTTGATTGGTTGATTTCTCAGTCTGAGTACAATTATCGTGCTCGAAAGTTTTATGACCGCAAGGCCAGTTGTCAGGTTTTAGACTTTAGGATTATGTTTGCATCTGATGGATTTTTTATGACCTTGACCCCAGTTTCAGAGTTCAATTACATCTAAATAATTTGAGTATTGCAACAGGCGACATATTGTGTGAACTCATGTTAGATAGAGTAAAACAATATAATTATTGTGAAACAGAACATTGTTTTTCATTAATTAAATGTTTTGTATTTTCAGGAACAACTAAAGTATGCAAAGTTAAAGGAACAGTTACAGAATGGATGATATCAAATAAAATTAAATCTTAAATACTGTGTAAATTAAAAGCCCTAAGAAGTTTACAGAGCCCTTCATATTGGCCAGTGAAAAGAAAATTGTGCAATATGGTCTTTAACAAGGTTAACAATCCCAGGACCAATTTTAATCTTGATGCATAAAATAACAGGATGATGCTACTAGAAAAATAAATGTTTAAAGCCATAATGAATTTCTTGTGATTTTAATGTAAAGGAAATTATTGACCAATGCATGCATTGGTAAAGATAAATATGCTAGATATATTTACTGGTACTGTGATGAAATGATTAAAGCTGTAAATTTTCTGCTTGACAACATTTATGTACATTTCGGCAATTAATTTTATGGACAGGTTGTAGGTATTCCTATGGGTACCAATTGCACCCCTTTGATATCAGACTTGTGTCATAACAGTTTATGGCAAAACTCAATGAAGACCTGTCTAAATTCCATTTAATTGATAAATTCAACAACATTTACTGTTATCTGGATGATATTTTTTCGTTAAATAATCAAGAATTCTCTAAATATCAAATATAAACAGCAATAACTATCCTTACTATCCTACTCTACACAAACATTTTGACAAAAGGGATGATTATTTGTTCCCTATTGTTAATTTTCCCTTTTTGGACATTGATGTATATATATTTATATATCCCAACACGTTAACTATGCCAGTGTCTGTAGTGATGTTTTGGATTTCAATTTATGTAATCTATGTATTACTGGTAAACTATTAAATCAAGGATTTTGTAACAACAAATTGTTTAAAACTGAATTCTTTCATAAATGCAAAGACTTGGTTTGGAATTTGACTGTATCTGTAGAAAACTTATTATAGACGGGATAGCATATCCTAATATTTACGGTGATGATTTTCACCAAACCCATATATTTAGGTGCATTCTGGTTAACTTATCGTTCCTTTAAATAAACTTATTCTAAACGGTTGAAATTTCAACACTGTATTTAGATCTTTGAATATAGTTTTTATCAGTAAAAATATCGATTTTGTTATCAATGAATTAAAAACCCAACTAAATATTAATGTTATATACATATGTGCATTCACAATCCTACAATCTTTTGATACCTATACCTATATTTTAGCATTGCACAAGGTCATGTTTTTCTACGACTGTTATTGACATCTTAACCAAGGCTTCCAAAACGGTCATATATTCCGGACATTTGTATAATGTCTGGTAAAAGTCCCGCTGGGCAAAGCACGAAACGGTCATCTACTTTTTAGATTTCAAGGCTTTCTTAAGAGACGGTCATTTTAACATAATTCGCGATCTTTTTGACCCAACCTTTTCCTTTAACAGCCACACATTTCCGGTCATAAAAGTGACATGATCATTAAGTACTATCAAAACAACCCCTACTTTAATACCTTCTCATTTTAATCAAGGCTAATTAGTTGTCGAACAGCTGAAATTTACCTGTTCAGGTGACAGGTAAACTATTTTGAACCGGACATTGATCGGTCTATTCAAAGTTATTTTCTTACATTTCACCTGTTTGCATCTAATTAATTCAGTCAAAAAGATTTAAATTATCAGAAATACATTTACAAATAAGATTTGATGAAAAAATTAAAGAGGTGAAAATGAAAAATCGTCATAACCACGTTGTTTGAACCAGAGACATGTCTCTGTTTGAACTAGTACACGTGTGCGCATGTGCATGTGCGCAGATGTGAAATTTAATTATGCATCCTAATTTCTTAAAAAAAATGCTTAAATTGTCATTGATACCTTTATCCACGTTTATTTCGAATATTTTCTTGAAGAAATAACGTAGAATGAGCTACTTTCACTCATTCATGCTTTGCAAACGTATATGGAATTTACGTATCCGTCTCTGGTCCATGTTTTACCATTGTCAAGATAACAATCGGTTTCAGATTTAAAAACGAAAGTAAAGTTTTTGACAACATTATTTTGCACAAATAAAGAGTCTAAGGCAGATATAAGTACGCTGATGTTGCACACTTCGGATGATGCACTGCCAATTTAACAGTTTACGTCAGAACTTCGAATTTGAATCAAAGAAAGTTTAATATCGTTTTTTTTAAATATCAATCATTGGGATGGCCAACTTGGCAACTGATTACCATAATTGCCTTTTGTTTATTTAGTCTTAAGGGATTAAAATCGGGATAATATATAAAATGTCCGGCTGGCTAAAAATAATTTTGGAAACCCTGATCTTAACACTAAATCCATTGGATGTTGGATGTGTACTGATTGATATTTTAGTTGTAGATACATGATTTTTTTTTAAAGTTGTAATTATCTTTGAAGTAGCTTTCAGTAACTGCAAGTACTCTTAGATCTGTACTTTGTGTCTTTTGTGTTTTTTATTTTTTGTCAGTTTGTTCTTATGATGTACTGCAACACCACTGTCCCAGGTTAGGAGGAAGGTTTGGTGTCCGCTAACCACGTAAGTCAGGAGCCTGTGGTTCAGTGGTTGTCGTTTGTCACTGTGTATCATTTTTGTTTTCTGTTAATTGTTTTGTATATAAATCAGGCCTTTAGTTTTTTGTTTGAATTGTTTAACATTTATTATTTCGGTTTTTACATGACTGCAAAAAATTTTGCGGTCATATATTGGTATCACGTTGTCGTCGTCAGCGTCGTCCAAAGACATTTGGTTTCAGGAAAATAACTTTAGTAAATGTAAATAGAAATCTATGACATTTAAACACAAGGTTTATAACCACAAAAGGAAGGTTGGGATTGATTTTGGGGGTTATAGTCCTAACAGTTTAGGAATTAGGGGCCAAAAAGGGCCCAAATAAGCATTTTTCTAGTTTCCAGACAATTACTTGTGGAACGGTGTATGGATCTCTCTGAAATTATACCACAAGTTTCCATACCACAAAGGGATGGTTAGGATTGGCTTTGGGGGTTATGGCTCAAACCGTTTAGGAATTAGGGGCAAAAAAGGGAGAAAAACAAGGGTTTCCTGGTTAATGGATAATTTAAAAAGATTTTTTTTTTTGGAAAAAGGGGGGAGGGGAGGTGAAACAAAAATTGGGGGGGGGGGGGGCAATTTTTTCTCATTTCAGATTTCAGAAATTAAAAAGAAAATTTCTTCAAATATTTTTTTTTGCAAAAAAGAGGGGGGGGGGGGGGGTAAACAATTTTTTTTTTTGGGGGGGGGGGTCAATTCGCAAAAGCATAGTGTATTGCACAAAAGCAAAAAATTAAATATAGATTCAGAAACCTATTATGAGTAAAATATTTAATTACAATCCAAATTCAGACCTGTATCAAGCGCATATATTGTGTCCATTTTTACCCCAACTGTTCAGTGTTGGACCACTGCAGTCGTATCCAGCTGCGCTCGGCGAAGCAATTTATTTATAGCTTTCTATACAATATGTGTTTTGCTCATTGTTGAAGGTTGTTAGGTGACCTATAGTTGTTTTGTCATTTGGTCTCTGGTGGAGAGTTGTCTCATTTGCAATTATACCACATCTTCTTATTTTTATTTATATATAATTAACTAAGTCCTCTGTGCATGTTGCATGATTTTACATTTATTAGGAATACATAGAATATTATTTGACAAAAAAACCAAACTATTTCATTCTATGATTGTTGATTAAAAACTTTGGCTGCTAGTTCACTTTCAGGTTTTGGTGCAGAAGTTTACCTATTATAATAAATGATCAACACAGAACAAAGGAGCATGTGTATACTAAGCAAGGTTATAAAGCAATGTTTATTTGTTTGGGTTTTTTTTCTTCAATTTCTATACATTGCAATTTATTTATAAAAAATTGTTCATAACAGTTGATAAATAATTTTTCTTCGACAACGATTTTTTGATAAAGATTGCCAAATTTAAATGATAGGTGTCATGGTTAAGGTCACTGAATAGAGAAAAGCTGTTGGTAAATTAGAGTATAGGGAGAAAATAATTCAATAGCAGTACTTTTCTGGAGATTTGGAATTTCACAATAATAAAAACATTGCACAAATTTCTGAATTTACGGTATCTATATATGTGCAAGAAAACAGAGATAGACATTTAGCTTTGACCAAATCTATGATATTTTTATAGTATTGTTTTTGATATGGAAGAGTTTTGTCATATGTAAAACTTTACTCTTTTAATTTAATTTCTTTTATAACAGAGCAAATTTTCATAAGGTTTTTCAACAGAAATTTTTTGCCAGGTCCTCCAAAAAAAGTTATTTCATGCCCATTGTCTAAAGAACATGATTATCAGAGAAAATGATGGTTCTAATTGATCTATCTGAAACTGCAATGATAAATCTTTTCAAGGTTATATGAATGTTAACTTGGAAAAATGATTAACAAAAAAAAAACATTCATACTCATCTGATTGCAAACAAGATGGCAACAATGTCACTTGGGTTCCTATAAAACCCTATAGGAAATAACATAAAACTGTTCTTTGATTTTACATGGCTAATGTGAAACAAGTATGACAAGAATAATTTATGAAGGTATAATTTACACATTTGAGAATTTTATGGTCACTTGAGGCAGATCTTGATTCTGGTCTATCAATTTCGGAGATAGTTCATTGCTGGTTTAGTCATGAAAAGACCCAGGCTTGTTTAAGCCCCTTACTGATTACTTTGGTTTAGTCGTGAATAGATTCAGGCTTGTTTGAGCCCCCTTCTGATCAATTTGGCTTGATAATGACAAGATCCAGGCTTGTTTACCACACTCCTGATTACTTTGGTTTAGCCATGACAAGATCCAGGCTTGTTTTTGCCCCTACTAATTACTTTGATTTAGTCATAAATAGACCCAGGCTTGATTGAGCCCCCTACCGATTACCTTGGTTTAGTCGTGAATAGATCCAGGCTTGTTTGAGCCCCTTCTGATTACTTTGGTTTAATCATGAAAAGATCCAGGCTTGTTTGAGCTCCCCACTGATTACTTTGGTTTAGTCATTAATAGATCCAGGCTTGTTTGAGCCCCCTACTGATTACCATGGTTTAGTCGTGAATAGATCCAGACTTGTTTGAGCCCCTACTGATTTTTTTGGTTTAGCCATGAAAAGATCCAGGCTTGTTTGAGCTCCCTACTGATTAATTTGGCTTGATAATGACAAGATCCAGGCTTGCTTACCCCACTCCTGATTACTTTGGTATAGCCATGACAAGATCCAGGCTTGTTTTTGCCCCTACTAAT